ACATTGATAACAGCCTCGACATAATCCATGAGCAAGGTTATGCTTTTGTTGATTGATGATTTTGGATGTGTAGCTTCCAAACTTGATGCTGTATTGAATTCCCGTTTTCAAAGAATTATCAGAAATAGAAGACCCCTCATATGAGTAGAGAATATTGGGCAACGGATATTGAATAACTTTAGAAAGATGTTCATGGTGAATCGATTTGTCTGAAAGAAGTTGCCAAGGGTTGAATCTGACCATTTTTTAATCAATTGTTTGATACTAAGGAACGAAGTGTTGGTTTTATTGAGAACAAAGTTTAACGGTTAGTTTCACATACTAGAACCTCCATTTCAATCAACATCCATTTCGCACCTTACACTCAAGTGTCAAATACAAATAGCACCTTACACTCAAGTGTCAAATACAAATCACACTTCGTTCATTTGGCACTCAAGTGTCAAATGCAAACGACACTGACACTAAGTGTAAGGTGTAAGGTGCCAAAATATAACAACTCAATGGAAGATTGTGATTTTTCAGATGCAACTGGTATGGATAGTTTTTGGAATGCTTTGCTTGATATAATAGTCAAGGCATGTAAACTCTCCAATACGACTTGTGTGATATCTCATCATAAGTATTTGGTTACCTCAAAAAGATATGAAAAGTCTTGTTTCACAAACGTTGATTTTAAAGATATACCTGGAAAATTACAAGAATGCACATTGGATAATTGTAAATTTGAATTTGAACGCCAACCGAAGACAAGCTTGACAGGATCTAAGTTTCAAAAAATAGATTTTTCAAAATGCACATTTTCAGACTGCAAGTTCAAAAATATTCAATGGAATAAGAATGATGTCCTTGCTAATTCATTTGCTCGATGCGAGTTTTCTGAATGCAATTTTAGGAATGCCGATCTCAGAGATGAGGTTTTTTCACAATGCACTTTCACAAATTGTCAATTCTGGAACTGTCTCATGACAACATGGCTTTATCAAAAAATCAGTCCTAGCAGTAGAGTGCAAACAGATCCAGTATTACCTTTTGGCAAGCAGACAACCAAGAGACCTTTTGTGGTAAAAGTTACTTCACCAAACTCAGTTCAAGAACTTTCACGAGAGGAAATTGATGAGTGGGAAAAAAGTACAAATTTAATAGATGATACATTTTACGACTCAGTTGAAGAACTTTCACAAGAGGAAATTGAGGAGTGAGAAAAAAGTACAATAATACTCAAGAGTAAATATTTTTAATTTACAAAATTACAAATCGTCAACCTCAAAGACAATGTTACAACACGAGCAAATTCACAAATTACAACTTGCTTGTCTTGTGACCTTCTTCCAAAACCTCTGCAGGAACCATCACTTTCGCTTGACCTTGCATGATAAGAGTTTCCTTTCCTGTCGAGCTCGTAATTGAGGATCCTCCCACACTTGACAAATCTTCACACTTGTAACAATCCGTCTTGAGTGTCACGATCTTTCTCTGAAGATCAATATGTTCAATTTCGACACGAGCTTTCACTCTCTCTCCAACCAATAATGGTAATTTGTATTTATATGTTTGTTCCATATAAATGGTTCCATCTCCTGGTAAATGAGCTCCCAATAAACCGCTAATGAGAGAGGTTAATAATTGACCATGAACAATGGGTTTCTTGAATCGAGTTTTAGATGCAAATTCTGCATTCAAATGAATGGGATTGTAATCTTCACTCAATTCGGCGAATTTTTTCACATGTTCGTGTGTGTATTTCTTGGAAATTTCAGCATACATTCCAACACGAAGAGGAAGTTGTTTGTTGGTTTGAACAGAGCTCACTACTGGATGATATTGATAATTTTCGTATTTGGTAATGGATTCTCTCCAATGATCGGGAAGATTTTCTTTGGTTTTTTTAGCAAAATTGTAATAAACAATGACTGTATGGACAAGTATAATTGACAAATAATGATTCGAATGGATCAAGAAACAATTTCGGGAATTAAGTTTTCGAGTGTGAAACATTTTGGTCATGTCAAAATTCATCATTAAACAATTAAGGTATGAATGACCATTGTGTTGATGAAAGATTAAAATTTTAACAATCTAAGTAATATGAAAGTTGGCATGAACGAATACATACCTGCTTCAGCTTCACACCAAACAGTTCCTTCCCATGAAACTCTATAGAGTTGTGTGAACGATGAGGTTCCGACTTGAGAGGTCTTGATGTAGACATCACATTGTTTGAAACCCTTTCCTGGAGCAATGCATCTCAAATCACACTGTCATTCGTATGTTGAAATGTGTCAAAATAATCATCAACATTGCATAGGATGTTTTGGCAATATTATTAATAATCGAATATTTTGATCGTTTCAAAATAAAATTAAATTTTTTAAAAAATTGAAATCCATCATCCAACCGATGGATTTGTGTCATCATCATCATACAAACCTTTAACAACACAAAAGGATATGTCAATGTCTCTGGATCCAATAAATTCAATGTATTGGGTCCAAAGTAGTCCGTTCTTGCCTCCTCGAACAAGGTCAAGTAAATGGCATTGTTCAATACTTTTTGATTGTCTTCATCACTCCATCTTGTTGGCAACGTGACTCTGTGACGGAAGGTGGTACCTGGTGGGATGACGCTCTTGGAATCTCCTTGTGTTGGCTTGCTTGGTGATGACATGGAGTGTGTGGTTGTTGTGTTGATTCTTTTTGTATGTTTTTACATCACAGCCGTGAGTGGGAAGAGAGATTGACAGGAAATTTGAGAAAATCTTCCGGTGGAGAATTGATGATGTTTTCAAAACGGAGCACGAATAATGTTGCTTGTGTAATTGAACAAAACCAAAGAGCGTTTATTGGACAAGCGTGGTTTTGAAAATGATCATGTGATTCTCAAGCTTATTCTTGGGAAGCAGTCTTCATGTATTCAATCAAATCGGCACGTTCGTTTGGCTTCTTCATACCGGCAAAGACCTGTTGCATGGTGTTAACGACCATTCCGAATTATTACCATAGGACACGAGTGAAGAAAATAATGAAAAATCACCACCGAATGATGATGAATACAACAACACTTGTACAAAGCCCTACTTACCATCTTTGTACCAGGAATATACTTCTTAGGATCTACCAAGTATTCAAAGAGGGATTGTTCATTCCAAACAACAGCCTTGTCCTTATTGGCAGCAGAGAAAGCATATCCTTCAGCCATTCCTGACTTTCTACCCCAAATACCCCACAAGTTTGGTCCAACCTTGTGAGCACCACCCTTATTGATGGTATGGCATTGAGCACACTTGGCCTTGAAGATTTTCTCACCCTTTGCAGCGTTTCCTTGAGGAATTTCTAAATGAAGGCCGCATCCATTATTCATCAAGGGAAGGTATGATGAATTTTATAATGAGCCAACAAGAAGAGTAGCGCGGTGTAAGCGAATCATTAAGCAAATTAAGGCTTACTTACCAGACATTTTTTTTTCGAATTTCGCCGGGTTGGTTCTCCGCATTATTACAATGAACGTTGTTTGGGGTATTCAATAACGCTCATGTTGAAAACTCACGTTCGCGAAAATCAAGGACGGTAATATTTATTGAACATGTTTAATTCTGAATAGAAAAATTCCTACTCATTATTGAATTGTAGCAAGGTCGAAATAATATGTTGAACACTGATTGGAATTGCATTGTACAATCTCAAAGCAGCATACACCACAGGAGAATTGACATCAATCACATCCACACCTCTGTACACACCTCTCATAATTTCGTCTGCTACCTGAACTGGAATTTCACTCAATGATTGATCCTTTCCACGTTGAGATTGTGGTTCATTTCTGACGCTTTCATCTGTGTTCAAAGTTCTTCTTCCTTCTCTGGATGATTCATCAATTGAAGTAACATCTTGTTGAACACCTTCACGTTGTCTTCTCTTTTCAACTCTTCGACTAGAATAGGATTCACTAAAAACTCGAGAAATCCATTCATTGAAAGTAATTCCCAAAGTTGATGTTAAATTTTGACAAATCAATGGAGTAACGATTTGGAAAACGAGTTGAGAAGCGTTGGGGAAATCATTTGGATCGACCTTTTGTCCTGCGAGTCCACTACGTAAAGAACTTCTTCTGACTTCACCTTCGACCAATTTGGAAAGTTCAAGCAATGAATTGAATCCAGGTCCTGATCCAAAGATTTGTTGATCAATACCTCGACGAGAAGGAGCATTTCCTACAACGACCACATGTTTTGGAGAATCAGTAAGACCTCTTTCACGAGATTGACGAATTGCTGGTAAAACCGTATTCAAAGTGCCAAAAATGTTAAATTCATAATTGGAGCGAATTTCATCTTCGTTCAGTGGATATTGCACTTGTTCAGGATTGATATTGAGAGTTGAGGAAGTTTCAGAAGTAATAGTACTACTACTACTACTGGATGCTTCTTCATTGGATCTGCTGCTTGGAACATTGGTTTCTCCTTTTCTATTACCATTTACGGAAGAACCTTTCACATCTCGTTTTGGAGAAGTTGAACGAGGAGAGGTCTTTTCCTTCACAAGATTTGGTTGTTGTCCAACAACACTTCCTCTCTCTACCGCATTGGTATATTTCTCTTCCTGACAAGTCATGACCAAATCATAATCATATTCAGTGACCACTTGTCGAATTTTCTCTTCATCATTTAGGGAACATACTTTGACACGAATTTCAGTAGTTTTTGGATAGTCCTCTCCCAATGTACGTAAGAGATCTTCACGAATTTGATTCAATCGACGATCGTCATTTCCAACAAGTGTCAACATTTTATGATCTTGAGATGCATCTCGTCGCCACTGTTCACACAAACTCAATGCCAATGATTTTGCAATTTCTGACTGAGAACCCACTCCTGTAATAATGGCAGATTTAATTTGTTGGGCTGAATATTGTTGAGGAGTTGGAACAGCCACACGAAAGATCATGGTCCAAATCCATCTTAAAAATTGTAAATACAATCCAATGAATGTAATGACTGGATACAACAAGGTGACCACCAAAGCTTCGAATAATTCCTTGAAAAAGGTTTGAGTGTCGATCGGGAAGAAGTTACTTCGTCCCATGATGGCTGAGAAGTTTCTCAACAAGATGGGAATGCTTTGGAAAGGTCTGAGAATGGCTTGTTGTGAAATGAATGAAGCACTTGGAGGGGATGAGGTTGTTGAAGTAGTTGACATTTTGAACAACCGAATAATTACAACTTGGAGATGAGGGTACAAGATTGGATTATGTGGTAATCGACAAGTTGTTGTTGTAGTTTTTTTACAAATGAAAAAGAATGGAAGGAGGGATGTGTGGTTGTAAGGATTTGTGATTTTACAATTTTGATCCAACAATCAAGTTGTATTTGAGGAAAGTAATAAAATGGTTTTATGAGTGAAATTGGCTCTTGATTCGGAAAGTGTTTAAACTATTTTCATTGGTTTTTTCAAGGCTCAAAGGTCAGTTTCATAAAAAGACCATTATTAGAAATTGTACATTTTATCAATTACTAAATTTGTGAAATTCATTTTTTAAATCTTATTCATCCAAGTGTCCTCTAAATTCCATCCTGGAAATCCTTCCTCTCTATCCTTCTCAAATTCTTGCTTCAACATGTCCAATCTCAATCTAGAAATTTGTTCCGGAGGTGCATTCGAATGTTCCTCAATTTGCTCAAAACTGCCAGGTGTCACGTAGTGATATTTTGGAGAATGAGATTCTTCGAGAGAAGTATGATAGTGACGAAGTTCTTTCTTTGTGGTTGGATGAAAGGTGTGCGTGGGAGGACAATGGATGAGATCGTATTCAGAAATTCCTCGTGTGGTTGTTTTGACCATTTTTTTGTGTGTTAAATTTGTATTTAATGTGGTAAATGAGGAATAAATGGAATGCGTGGATGGACAATTAAGGAAAATGTTAAAATTTAGAGTTGGCATTTGACAGTTGTGTTTTGTAAAATATTATGAAATAACTTTTAACATTGAGACCTTCTATACTTTCAACATGTTCAACTATCATAATGTAATAACACTGGATTGTGAAGTCATCCGTTTCATTACAATCGACATCCATCAACGATCGATCAAAAATTGTGTCAATAAAAAAAATGGCAAAATCAAAACACGCAGTATCGTCATCCTCTTCTCCAAAAGATGCTGCTGCCAATAATTCCGTTCCTTCTTCAACAATTACACCTACAACCAAAAAGACCGATGACTCTAAAACGACATCTGACAACACAACCACTCCCCCAAGTATGTTTTTTTTTAAAATTTACTAATTGTCATCATCATCCACGGAATGAAATTCACAAAAATTGACAAACACAGAATCCAAAAGTTGCAAACATTCTTTCATTCTCTGGACCTTCTTCATTCTTCCCATCACGATCGGACTTGTTTCCATTTATTTATTCACATTCCATCATGATGAATTGAAATTGGAACTTTCAAAATTAATGCCAACTTTATTTAAAAAGCCAGTGAGAACCGTAGCGGTTCAATATCCTACTGTGAATACTCGTTCTAAATTTCCGGCCATTATCAGTTCAACTCCTTCCTATGTGAAATATTTGGAATTACTTCAAAAGAACACATTGACACAAAGAAAAAAGGTTCATGTCGGAGTGTTTGATGAGCATCATTTTTCATTGTTTTTCTGGGTGAGAGCTCACAAATTGGGACTCATTCCAAGATTGAATTATTCGAATGTTGTTGCAGATCAACAACAAAATGTTTACAATTTAAACTTTCAAGGTCTTCCATTGCTTCATATTGATTCTCATTCCGATGCACAAATTCCACAACATTATTATAATTTTAAACCTTTTAGAGATTTAATTCAAAACACACCACTTGGGGCAAAAGAAGATTATGTCACTGCAAAAAATGTCACTAAAAAGCGTCATCCTTTCAATGATAAGAAAATGACAGAGCTTCTTGCAGTCACTTCGATTGGAGATTTCATTCCAGTCGCTCAATATTTGGAATTAGTTGGTCCTCGAGTGGTTTGGCTTCAAAGTAATTTCGAAGGAGGAGGTTACAATTTTAACACAGGTCGATACAATGCCGAGTTGGGAGTGAGAGCCAATGCCATGAAATTACCACCACAAACTCTTCAAGATTTGACAAAAGCTGCAAATTCTCTAAATGTCGAATCGACCTTTTTATGTTATCGAAATCCAGATGGTTACTCATGGAATATTCACCACAGAAATGGAAAAAAGATTTTGACCAAACCTATTCATACTCTGGCTCAAATTGCAAAAGAAGGAGTTTGTGTTGAAACTGAAGCGTTTCACAATGCATCACACGAGTCATTTCCAATTCAATGGGATGTCTACAATACGGATGAATTATTTCAATCTGGAAATGTGATTGAAGACAAAGCCAAATTCTTTAATTCCACACCATATTTATTGGATATTGATCTTGATTACTTTTCAACAGACGATGAAATGCTCTTCAATATTGTTCCAAGAAAAACCTATGGAGGACTTTTTAAGGTCTTGGAAGAAATGGTTCAAGAAGAGACCATCTTGTGTTTGGATCGAAGAATTTATGAGCCCACAAAAAACATGTCACTTTCCATGGATCAGGTGAAAAAATTTAACAGGAACAAAATTTCTAATTTACTTCATGAAATGTTCTTTAGAGGACTCATGTTCGATGAAAATAGTATCTTTTCCAAGCAACCCGTACAGAAATCTAAATTGATTGGTGACTCAGTGTTTGGCCCAGAAATTTTAGAATTATTTTGCAAAGGTTCACATCATGCTCTCGAACACTTGTATCAACTTTCCAAACTTGTGATTATCTTTTTGGAAAATATGAATTACTTTTACTTGTCACTGCTCGATGTGAATTATGGTTTTCCATCTGTGAAACCATACTGTAAAGTGAATCAAATGTTTGGAGTTTGTCCAAGTGGATTACCTTCGAAATATTTAACGCGAGATGAAATTATGGATCAAATGAACAAGTTGGAGAAGTTAATTGTTGCTCAAGAACAGTTACCAGCGTATGTGACCATTTCAAGATCACTCGATGCGTATTTACCAAAGGTTTTACACCATTTTATTGAATCGGAGACTTTACACATGTTGGAACGAGCATTTAAACAAATATCTCCCAATGTGACAGTTGACGTTTCCTATTTTGATGAATTTGAGCCAACATCAAAGAAATATGAAAAGGAAGCTAGTCGACAATTTTACGACATGATTGAAAAAGAAGCATCGATTATTCGTCAAGCTGTCCAAGAAATTGATGATCCAATTTCAACCTACCTGCCACATGTCAATTACAAAATTTACAATGTTGCTCTCATGCTCCAATTTTTACAAGAACGTGAAGTCTCCTTCGATATGTTCGTTCAAGACATTACACTCCTTAAAGAATTTCTCGAGTGGAAATTAACCAATGCTGGCTCTATGGATTTTGACAATTTAGGAATTGTCTCAAAACCTAAAAATTCCATTTTCATGCCTTATACCATTCCTTCCAAGAGACCTCGACTTTGCATGTTAATATTGAAGAATGCTCTAGAAGATTCTAACTCGACTTATCCAACCAGTGGCGAAACAAAAGAACAAGATGCAACATCTTCCACGTTAAATTGTTTCATTCAACAACTGAACCAAACATTTGAACGTGAATTAATTTTGGAATTGGAAATGGTCGAGAGTTCAAGTCGTCAAGAATTTTCACAAAAATTTGAAGAACTTGTCGAATATTATCAAAAATTATTCCCAACTCATTTCAAGAATGTGAGCATTTCGAGAGATGACACAAAGCCATATGCTCTTGTGGTCGATCCTTCTTGTGTGACCTTCGATATGGAAGAAGAATTGAAACCTAAAAAAACAAAATCGAAAAAGTATATCAATTTGGAAGAAAATCCAACTGTGAAACGTTCTGGAAGAGAACCCATTTCAATTTCGTATGATTTTTCTGGAGTTGTCTCGACGTTTAATAATTTAGTTTTGGATTTGTTGAAAGAGAGTACTCCCTCTGCCTCGTTGAAGGATTATTTGAATAAGATGGCGTATATTGATGCACAGAAAGAAGCATTTAATAAGAAAAAGTTGAAACAACGTTATGAAAATGTGAAAGGAATTGTGGAGACGTCCATCAAGAAGTGTAGTAATGGAAAATTGTAGAAGAAATGTGGGTTTATTTATTCACTAACTGAGTGTTGGCATTTGACATGTTTGACAAGTTGAGCTTTTTGAGATCTAAAAAAGTTAATTTTTAATTTTTACTTTTTATCTTGTTTTCTGAACCACTTTTGGGCATGTGAAGCGATTTGCGTCCTTCGTCTCGAAGGCACATACAAATCAGCAATTTTACTCCAATTCTTGCCACACTCTCGATAACCCTTCAGAAATTGTTCATGTTCTTCCTCAGTCCAAGGTCCTTCATTCACATTGACTTTTCTTGCTTTTGGTTTTCTACCACGATTTGATTTTCGTTTGGGAAGTTCATATTCTACAGTGAAAGAGGAATGGGATGGTTCAATGTTGGATGTCGTACAAGTGTGTTCATCATTTGGATCGTCTTGTGACGAGTATGATGATTCAGTAGTGGTTGTGCTGACATCATTTTCATGTTGGCTGCTGGCAGAAGAAGTGTCTTCTTGTTCCAGCGTTGTAATTGGAGGTGATGTTCGTCCCATCAATTGTGAATGACGTTTGGCAATTTTATGTACAGGAGGAAGAACAGCACCGAATGCTGACACGTCATGATGAGGAGGCGTCAAATGTTTCACATGTTGTTGATTGCAAAGAGATTCATAACTTTCTCGATTACGTTTTTTCAAAGGTTGAACAAAATAAGGAAGTGAAGATGAAAATTTTGATTTTGGACTCAAATTCTCTTGTTGAGAAGGTTCAAAAGATTCTTGATGACAGTGTAATGTATTTGTAGTTTGAAAAGAAAAGCCTTGATGTTGAGAGGATGGTTGGGTAATACGTGCAGGTTCTTCAGAAGGTTTGAACAGCCTTTCATCATTCATGACATTTCTCATGAAAGGACATGATGATGATTGAGAGGAAGTATTGAAACCAGTCGAGGAAGGAATTGAATGATGAAGAATATCAAGTTCATGATGAAAACTCTGAGTTGGAGGTTCTACACTCACCACGGGTTCCATCAAGTGTAATGAATGAATTCGGTTGGAATTCGTATGATCCTGGAGTAGAATATTGTAATACTCTCGATGATCCGAATGTTGAGGCTTTTTCATCATGATGAGCATGGAAGTCATGATGGTTTTTTAGAATGAACCAATGATGATCGGAATGTTGTGTTTCTCTTTTTTGAGAGCGCGTGTGTTTCTTCTGAATTTTTGTTATCATGAAGTCTCGAGCTGAGATGCTTTTTTGAAAATTAAATAAGGAAAAAAATATGAATTGTCCAAAAATGGGTCGTTAACAAAAGATGACCTGATATGGAATTTTTAAAATCCAATTAAGTGAACAAAATACTGTTTAAAACACATTTTGGCGATTTGACTGGATTTGAGTTCGAATCATTGTGGGTGACCTCTCTGGCAATGATACGAAAATGAAATGTTTCTATACAATTGTTCAAAAACAAACAAATGGCATTTTTCTTGTGACATTTCGAGTCCAAAAACAAAGGATCAAACCATTTAGCTTATTTAAATATTCATTCATGTTCAACGACGAACACCCAATTGATTTCATTGAAGATGAATTAAATGAAAGAAATTAAAAAAAAATGTCTAAAAAGCGAGTCAAGCTTTCGGAGCAAGAAGATGTCGTAACTCAGCAACAACGAGAAGAAAATGTTGAGGATTTAGAAGATGAAAATAATCATGAGGAACTGGATCAAGAAAACTATGAGGATCATATGGAAGAATCCATTCCCGAGGATCATGATACGTTTGTTCCCATTCATTTAAATCCGATAGAATTATTACAAGAAATGAATGACGATGATGGTGAGGACAACAATGAACAGCAGGAGCAGCAAACAATAATTGCGGACCAAGATGAGGAACTACACTCTGCAGGAACTGAAAATTCAAAAAAGAGAAAACGAAAGAAAAAGAAGCCATCTCAGAAATCTAATCAATCAAATCAACAAGCAAATATCAATGAGGAACATGATGAACAACATTATCAAAAAGCATTTTATATTGTGGATGAACAAACAGTAAAGAAAATTGGTTGGCAACCTCCCGAGAAGGAATGGCTTAAATCATTTTTCAGTCATGATTTAAAGAAGACCTCTGACAATGCTCAAGTTACTCCTCAAGAATCATCTGATCCCATGCAACACGATGAAGAAGAAAACTTGGACGATGAATTGGACAATGAAGCACAACGTTATTTATTGAATGTTCGATATGAAGCACAAAATTATTGTGCCAAGACAGTAGTAGCAACCAATATTGATTCTAAACAATTTGAGAAAAATCGGACAAGTATTAGAGATTTGGATTCATCACTGTATGGAGCTCTCCATTTATTTGATGCGTTTATGGGAACCAGTGACACCAATCAATCTCCAATTCTTATTACAAAACAATGGGAACATCAATTCTTAACAAATTTTACCAAGACGAGAGAACATGTTCAGCTTGAACTCGACAAGAAATTAAGATCAAAGGGCTCATCATCCAGTACCTCTCAAAAGTCTAATGAATTCTCCAAATGTCCTCGGCTCAATGGAAATTATGATGAGTGGAAAACGTATTGTCTCGGGGAGGAGAATGTTTATGTTTTATGGGAGCGAATGATCAACAAACAGGCACAACATAACAATCCAGAAACCATCAAAAAGAAGAAGAAAAATCGTAGAGGAAGAAAACGAGGAGGTACTCAAGCAAATAAGGTAACCACTGAAGCAACAGTCACTACCATCACAAGTGAGACCATGTCTGATTCGGGTGAGGGTGAGGAGGTGGATGAAAAACACGACCAAGAACAAGCAGCAGTTGACCTTTCAACGAGTGACATGACTACAGAACAACAACTGGAGAGCACTCGAGCAATGCCAACAACAACAACAACAGCGGAGAAACATACTCAACAGGGAGATTCAGCAACACCACCACAATGTTCACAGTCTTCTAACCAGGGTCACAGGCCCACTCAAAATTTGCTTCTCAGCTATTTGGACTATGTCACTACACATGCTCTATTCAACAAGATGATTCATTGGACAGTGAGTAATTTTCATAATAATTCCTTATTGCGACGAGTTCCAACTAAGGCTAGTTCCCTTTTCACACCATCCGATGAACATGAGGATGAAACCCATGAAGATCATGAAGAAACTCCTACACACGAAACGGGTGTTGCTTCCGAACAACAAAAGCAACAATGGATTACAGATTATTTACTTGTGCAAAGTAAGGAATCCAATAATGTGTTACGATGCGACTGGTTGTATCACTTGTTACTTGCCATTGATAAACCTCCAAATGACACGATTGGAGCGAACATGAATCAATTACTGGTTTGGATTCTCGAAAATTTCTCTCATTTTACGCCACAAGAGAAAGAAGAATTCACAAAAATTGTTCTCATTGTGATCAAATATTTTGGACAAGGAAATCCAAACATTATTACGTATAGTGACGATAACGTCAATGGTTCAAAGAAATCTCTCACTGTCTAGTGAAATTATTATGATTTAAAAAATATCAATGTTGAAAATTCCAATCGTTATAATTTAATATTTTGCTTAGATCAACTATTAGCATTTCTTCCAATTTTTCAAAAAGCCATGATCATCTTGTCTGTGGTCCACTTTGTAATGAAGCCGAAATAATTGCTGCACTGTCTAAATAGTTGCTGACACAATTTTGGAAGCAAACTTTATCATCTGCAGATAAATATTATTCAAAATAAACATAAAATTATTGAAGAATAAATTGAAAAATAAATAATATTCCACACAAAATTCAATCAACATGTTTCATCACTCTAAATACTAACTCTTGTTGAGACCTTTCGTATTTGGATTCGGAACACAACTCTCAAAACATTTCTTTGTCAAATCAATGATCTGTCGAGTAATTTGTGATTTCCAAACCAACTCGAGCTCTTTTCTCTGCTCTTCCGACATTTTTTCTTGTTTGCTTTATTTGTTCATTCTCGAATGCAACAGTGATAACAACAAATTAATTTCAATTTTATGGACATATATTTTCGAAACAATTTGAACATTCTGAAGAGAGAAAGGAAACAAAGAGCGGTGATTAGGAATGAAAGGATGATTCAAAGTTGGTTTGACGGGTTCACAGTAGCATGTTTGGAAGAATCATATATAATCTACACACAAGATTAGGGAAGGACAAAGAGGAAGGAAAGAAAACTGGAGTTTTTCAAGGATAACAATATTCAAAAGTAGTCCACTACAAAAGTCGGTCACATGCATTCCAAGCTGAGGTTACTTTTGTTGTGATGGTGGTGGTTGTAGTTGATGTTGCTGTTGTTGTTGTTCTGCTCGTTGTTTTTTCTCTATAACCACCCAATCCCATTCATAATCTAAAGCATACTTTTCTCGCACAAATAAATTAAGGAATAAGTTCCTCAGATACATGTAGTCTGGCTCCTGATAAAATTTGAGACCCCTAGTGTAATTGAGATATGTGGCAAATTCAATGGGTAAACCTTTGCAGAGCGAAACAATTCGAATATTTTTCTTCTTGTTATAAATATTGTTGTAGTGGTCTTCTTTCGTTTTTCCTGTTAATCCTTGCCATGGTAAAGTTCCTCTTAGAAAATATAACAAGACATAACCCAATGATTCCAAGTCATCTCGTCGTGATTGTTCATAACCCTTGTGATTGTTCAGACTTGCATAACGGGCCGTTCCTGTCAAATGTTTATCTTTCCGTAAAGGAATGTGACCCTTGTCACTCATGTACATTTTGGATAAACCAAAATCAATCATGTAAACTGTGTTGTCACTAGAGAGCGATGTTGATGAACTTGTCGAGTTGGATTTTCTACCCATTAAAAAGTTATCAGGTTTGATGTCTCGATGTACAAAGTTTCTTCGATGAGTAAATTCAATTCGTTGTATCATTTGATCCGCTAGCATGAGAACAGTTTTGAGAGAGAATTTGCGATTGCACTTTTTAAAGAGACTTTCCAGCGAAGGTCCCAATAGATCCATGACCATGATATTATAAGAGCCCTCAGATCCATACCAATAAACTCTCGGTATTCCTACAATTGGTGTTGAATTTGCTGATGTTGTTGTTAAATGGCTCGAGCTGCCATGAGATCCAAACAGATAATTGATAACTTTAGCTTCATAAATTAATTGTTGTTTTCCAGCCATGTTTTGTTGATTTCTTGTTGGCATTAATTCTAATTTAACGGCAAAGTATTCTTGTTGCTGTTGTTGTTGTTGTTGCTCTCCAGATGATGTTGACGACGATGAAGATGTGTTCGAGGATGTTGTAAAGGTTGCAAGGAAAACTTCTCCGAAAGCACCATTTCCAATCTTGCTCATAAGTCTATACTTTTGACCAATAACCAGTCCAACCGGATATGGTCCACTGCTACTTCCTGGGTTATTGGATGGAGATGTTTGTGGAGGAACAGTGAGTGTTTGTGGACTGTGGAGCGGATTTGTTGGTGAAAGTGGTGTACCTGTTGATCCATGATGATGGCCATTGTTTGCAATTTGAAGATGAAACGAATTATTGGCCAAGCTACCAGCACCTGCATTGATGATGGATTGGGATCGACCCTGTGATGTTGCTAACATGTTACCATTGCCTATAGAGTGGGCATTGCTTCGGCGATTTCCTAGAGTACCAATGAGCGAATGAGACGGCAAATATGTGATGGGTCATGATTCGTGGATGAAGCGAGGAGTTATTTAGCAATGCGAGGATGATTTGTTGTTGTCATTGACAATGGAATGTTGATGATGTTGTGTGGGCGTGAACACGTGATGAGAGGTGAGTACATGTGAGCATTTATCGTCATGATGAATTCAAATGGTTCATTGACGACATGAACATGACATCGAATTCGAACAAGTTTCGGTTCAATACAAATTCCCAAAGAACCCCAATGCCAAATGTCCATATTAATTATTTTGAAATAATTCATCAATGAATGACAACCATGATGAATAAATGAATAGTGGCCATAAACAATTATTTCATTATTCATGGATAAATATCATCATTCAGTGATTTGGTGATTGAAAGGATTCAAAGATCATCATCATAAAAATGTATATTTGTATATACGTTCATTATTTCATCATCATGATGAAACAACAACAACCACTTACCTGACCCATTTCCATCCTCAATAACAATTGGAAAAGCAGCAGACGAACCGGGCCTCGGATTTGTTCCTCCCACATTCATATTTGATGATGTAGCAGGATTGGTCGTTGCGGTGTTGGTTACCTGTTGATGTTTGTCCTGCTGTTGTTGCTTATGACTATTATTGCCCATACTAACTTCTTGTATTTAAATTTAAAAGTCTAGTATTGGTGTGTTGTAGGAATAAAGTCTATGGTTCACCGTGTACTTCGTTCTTTCGTTCGTTTGAAACAAAGGAATTTATATCAAATTATATAATGAATTCTTCTAATGATGATGGAGGCTGATGATGATCGGCACACAACAGGTCGTTCCTTTGGTCGGGTACACAGCTTTGAAAAAAAAGTGATACGTTGTGGCAGCTATATGGATGATGATGTTTTTTCAATTTGCTGATGAAAAATAAAATTGTTGTATTGATGCCAAATTTGGAGGTCTATTTCTTTTCTTCCGAGTTGCAACTCAGTTTTGGACAATCAATGGGCTGTTGTTGTTGTGAAAGGATTCCTTGATGATGAAAGAAAAAGGAGGGGGTGTTGAATGAATGAAAAGTGTGATTGGTATACTGTTTTTAAAATATTGTTGGCAATAGTTTTCGCTTAGTTTGTTTTTGGAATCTGGTTTTGTGAAAGTGACAAGTGGCAGAAGCGACAAGGAGCACTTGAAGCATCTCAAAACAGAACCAAGCGTTCAATGTATGGAAGTTGAAGATACGTTGAAAAAAAACCTTAGACAACTAATGTGTCACAAATTCATAGACGTTGTTGACAACCAATATCGTCAAAATAAAGAATTATTTAATATCTTTTCAAAACCAACATGCAAATAAAACTAAAGAGATGAAACTTATCAAAGTCATTCCATTTCTCATTCCCATTTTCACGCTTGACCCCATCGAAATCACTGCAGAGACATTTCTTGCAGGTTCTGGACGCGATGAAGGTCCAATAGGTTTTACAGAATTTGAAACCAATGGCTCAGTCACATTAAACAATTTAAATCCATGAATTCTCGATTCTGATCGATAGTAATACCATCCATTTTTCAAAATCACTCCATTGAATGGCAATACTTTCGAAGGAGGTGTCATGATTCGTTTCATTGCAAACGTATTTTCATCAATGAAATGAATTCCAGTGGATAATGTAATGTACACATCACGACCATTCGGATGTAATGCGAATGAGTGAGGTCCTTGTTCAACAAAGGCTCGATCCATAGGTTTCAAATGAATTAAGGAGCGATTGGCTGGATTAAACACAAAGAACATTCTCGAATCGGTGTAACCATAGATGAGACCCGTGGAGCTGACGCTAAACAATTCATAGTAATATCTAACGTTTGAAATTAGAGCTCCACGCCATGTCACATTCATCGAAGTCGTGTTGAAAATATACAATTCAGCAACGGGTGCAATGGGAACTCCTCCAGTTCCAGCAGCAATGGTCGTTCCACATAAAATCAAATCTTGAGAGTTTGGTATTACAGCCATACTGTGAGTAGAGTGATATTTCAATAATTGAGTATGATCTAATACGGTTGAATTTTGTGTGAGTCGATTCCAAATTAGGAGACCTCCTCCAGTATTACCGTATTCTGGGGTGCCACCCATGAAAACGAACTTCTTATTGGGATGAACCAAGACAACACTTGGACGAATGATGTGAGGCATGGCTGAAGTGAGAATGACTGGATTGGTGGAATTGACATTTCCTGCAATGGGATCAATCCATGGCTTGTTCAGATCATATTGAAGTAAACGACCATAAGGATACGTTCCAAACCAAACGTATGGGTCATATGGAAACGCCTGAACGACATTGGGTTGATCTACTGAATAGTAATTTTGGAAAATTCCATTCTTGGAGTTCATGGTGAAAAAGTTCATTGGAAAATTGGAACCACCGATCAAGGTGCTGAAATCTGGACTTGCTCGAATATCCATAATATTGGCGCCACGACACGTGTATTGGAAAGACAAGGTTGTGAGGGTGTTATTCTTTTCTCGAATAGTGAATTGTCGATTTTCTTCATCAAATGTAATTAATCGTCTCAATGATGGAAAATAAGGATAGAAAAAGTCCTATCCCAAATTCATTCCATGAACACCAAATTCAATTTCAAACACAGCACCATTTCAAATCATTCACAATATCATTCGAATCATTATTTCAACAAATTGTAAAAAGACTTACCTGACTTCCTGTAATATATTTCATCTCGACCTTTGGGTGAGAAACAATCACACTCGAATTTCCTTTATACAATCGATACACTGGAGTAGCGTGAACATTGGCAGCATAGACAGCTCCATCCACATCTCGATACAAGACTGGCATTCCATCGACACGTTCATGTTCTGGAATGAGTGGATTTGCTTTTGAAGTATTTGGATTGAATGCAATAATTTGACTCAATGTGTAACCAACAGCAAAATAGAGATAACCTTGATCGTCAAATGCTAATGATCGTTGATACATGGGCCATGATTGATTATATACATAACCATAATCTGTTAAGACTCGAGTATTGGGATTGAATGAAACGAGACCGCTCTTGGGATATGTGACTGACCAAACGTTTCCTTGATTATCCAAAGTCATTCTCATGGCTGTTCCAGGCAAGGTTTTTCCAATGAATGAAAATGCAACCGTTTTGGCATCAAATTGAAAGAAATGTCCTCCGAAATGAAAATAATAATATTGACCGTCGAAAGACAATAATGAAGCATAGACGGCATCTCCTGTAGTGATGGCTTGATTGGGAAAATCCAATCGGGTCGTGTTGCCATTCTCTGAGTTCACAACCAAAAGTGCAAACATGTAAGAGCTAAATTCCATCATGAGTGCGAGAATGCATTCGTATTGCGGATTAGGAGCTTGACCGCACACGGTTACAACCACTCCACGCGTATTGCCCTTGTCGACAGCAACGCCCATGTCGTAGACACCAGTCGTTGCGTTCAAAAGAGTCACCGGATAGGCATGTGTGAAGGAAAAATTCAATTCATTGAAGGAGGAGGACGAGGTAAAGAGGAGAAGAAGGAGAATGACAACAGTGACTGAGAAGGTAGTGCGTGTCATGCTGTTGTTGCTGTTTTTTGAGAATGGCACCTTGTGGCTGCCATTTTGTTAGAATTTGCAGAGCTCACGTCATCAATCATTTGGTGAAAATAGTAAGATGTTGCGTCGCATTGAAACACCTCGTGCTGGAGTGTTCGAAGGAATTCGTGGGCGAGTTCCTTTTGTCTTGTCTGAAATCTCTAGCTCTCTTCGCCGTCAGAACAACAGAAGTTTACGATAGACTGTACGTGCTTGGCCAATTCTGTTGATTGATTACTTAAAAATACGTCTCGTTTTGAAAGAAAGCTCGAAACGTTACATTCCATGAATGGAATAGCTCCCAATAAGTCCTTTCTCCTTACTGGCCTTGTTGTTGTAAGTACAAGATGTCAATAAATTGTGACTTGAACGATCGTTCATTGGCAATCTTTGAAGCTATCAAAAGGTAATGGATGCATTCACAGCCAAAAACAATGCCTAACGACAATAATAGAGCCAACCAATTGAACCCAAATAACCCTGCTTACCACTCATCAAGAGGAGACAGCTCGTATTTTTCATCCAAACAGTCAAACGACAATAACAGAGCCAATCAACTCAATCCAAACAATTCTGCCTACCACTCTTCAAGAGGTTCACAAAGAAAATAATAATTGTAACTACCAGTTGGTTTCAATGTTGAAAAAGACGTTTTAGCAATAAATTGCTGTCCAATATATAATTGATTGAAAAATTGCAGGAAGTACTATGATTAACGCTCATGGTGAACGAGATGAGTGAGATGTATGCACATTCACCTATTGTGCCTTGCCAACGTTATCCAGCATAACATTACTTCCTACCCAACGTCCATTCTGATCCTTATGGAAAGCTGTACCCACTCCAACAGCAGAGCCATCCTTAAAGTTGGCAACGAGAGCGAATTGTGGTGTGATCAACAAACCAAAACCATCCTTCCTCATTTCCCTTACTTGACCAAAATAATAGGTTTTTCTAGAGCTTAATTCTGCGCATCTTCTTTGGCGATGATGTTCCTGTTTGCGCAGTGCTGTTAGTGCTGCATAGCCGAATGCGGCACCTGTCAAGTGTGCTGATGGAGTTCCATAATATTAAAAATTGTTAAAAGAATGTCATCCATTCAAACATGAATCACAGTTGTACATTCAACTGATCTCAAACCTCAATGACTTACCTCCAGTATCTAATTTTACACGTCTCGAATATATATTGAATAAAATTTCTCCAATGAAATACGCTGGCAAGAAATATTGTGGATTAAATCCTCCAAAGCTGTCAGGCAAGAAAATTAAATTGATTTTTGCCTTTTCCAATGAAATAATATTCAATCCTGCAAACATCACTGCAAAAATGGCACCAGAGGCTCCAACACTTGCTTGATAATAATTTTTGGTTACAAGTTTGAGTAAAATACTACCAACACTTGCACAAGCACCAGCTCCAAAATAGAAGGCTAGAAATGCCTCAGGTGACAATGACTCATACAATAAATGTCCCATATTATACAATGCTAGCATGTTGAAACTAAGATGAGCAAGTCCACTATGAACGAAGGTACAAGTTATCAGGGTGTGAATTCTTCGTCTCAATAAATTATTCACAGAGCATGTCATGTGTCTAGTATAAACTCTAGCAAATGCTGGGCTCAATCTCAATTGTTTGAAAATAAAGTGAGTGGCAACATTCGCTGCAATGATTGCATACAAGATTGGGTATCGTCTCACATCCTTCTCAATCTCATCAAAGGCATTGTCATTGGGTTCATTAAGAATTGGGCCTTTCTTGAGAAGTGGTGTTTCTACACCTCGTACATCTTTTACCTTTTGAGTATTTCCTTTTTTTGCTTTTTCTTGCTCTATTGATTGCATATACTGAGATAATGCTTGTTGAACAAGAATGTTAATGGGACCTTGTACATGTTCATGAAATTTCTTATCAAATCCAATAGTGCATGCGACAAGTAAAGTAAAAACAGCTGGAAATGCCAAAGCCATCCACAAGAGTCTTCTCCGATGTTCACTTCTTCCTTTGTGAGAATTAAATTCATAGAAATTTTGATGCATCTCTTCTTGAAGATACAGTCTTCTCATTTCATCGAAAAAGTCTTGAGCAGGATCATCACTTGATTCCCTGGGCTGGTGAATGCTGTAATTTCTCTTTTGAGTGTGTTCCATCGTTCTTTCATGAATGGGGTAAGAATGATTGAATTTTTGGATGGAAGAATATTGCTGATCATCGGAAACTGAATTCCAATGTTTATGAATATTATTTGGTTTTGACCATGAATTTTCAACGATGAATTTGGACCGTAGACTTGAGAATGAACGAATCACGGTGGTGCTGCTGAGCAATCCATTCAATGTTGAATTGATTGTTGATCTTGTTCTTGTTCTTAGCAGTGAGGAAGAGGACGCTAAAATAGAGTGTTGGCAACGAAGCATTTTTTGTTCTGTAACAAGCTCCAATGCGATCATGTCTGGACAGTGCAACTCAACAAAGTCAAAATTAGAAGTTTCTTTATAAGAAAAACATTTGCTTACATTTGGGTAACAGATGGTTTGTAACAACAAGTATAAGATAGAAACTTCTTTTTTGAGTTTCGTTACCATTGACAATGTGACTTCATTCAATTACTTTTTAAAAGGTAGTCTGTGCAATACAAGCCAGCTTCCCATTCTTTGCCACGTCAATTAGAGTGATGAATAAACAGTAACAATGCCATCTATGCTTGTTTTACACCCAAAATGTTGCATACGTTTTCCTATTGTTAGAGGTTGTCATTTCAAAAGCTCTATTTGGCAACGGGTATTAACGTTTCTTTATTTCCCAATGGTTTGCTTAATGGCAAAATGGTACATGCATACACAAAAGGAAATAGTAAATCTTGAACAGAGCAGGTCTTGCTACTCAATTCAAAATACTGGACTCGACAAGTGTGCAAAGTTTTCTCAGTGCTACATGTAATCGTTTCCAAGAAGATAACAATTTCTTCTCTTGTGACATTGTGTGAAAGATCAGATTTCAGTCCCAGTAGTATTAAACATGAATCCTCTGATTCCAAATATTCACACAGATTTTCAACTCTATTTTGTGTTTTCCAATCCTCATACATTGTCATGATATTGTTGAACGATGAATGGTCATTGAGATCAAAGCAATAGAAATAACCTTTAGGTTCTCTGAAATGGTAGGTAATGATATTTTTAAAACTTGCTTCTCCCATATCCCACAATTGTATAGTATATTGTTCGTCCTCTTTGGCATTAGATAGATGTTTCATGCGAAGCTCAGTACCAATGGTTTTGGTATAGGTATCTCGGAACGGAATGTTTTGGCAAGCCCTGTCAACAAGAGCACTTTTTCCGCACCTTGATGGCCCAATAAGCATACACTTGACAACAATTGGAGGCCCTTTCTTACTTTTCTCTGACAAATTTTGAAATACATTCACAATTTTCGGTTTAAATTCATTGAGAAAAAACAGAAAATTCTTTCGATGATTGTTTTCATATCGCTGTGGTAAGTACAACATGGTACACAGATCCGAATTATTGTTCCACAATTGTGGAAACTCGATCCAATAATTATAAAAGTTTTTTGAAACTCTTCCAAGTTGCAGCACACATTTCATTGGTAAAAATTTTAAAATATTAATCATAATTTCATCAGGTAAATATTCTTCCAAAATGCTCAAATTCTTGAAATTATACACTTTTTCTTTATCGGGAACTTTTAATTTTTCATTATCATGACTCGTTGAATAAACTAATGGATAATCTGTCGGAAATAAATCATGGATTATCTTTTTTGAAGCCGAAGTTTGAGGAGGAATGTTGGCGGTATCATATGACATTCCTATGAGAGGGGCAGAATGTGGAGGTGGTTGATGCAACTTGGCTGATCCAAAATTGCCCATATTTTTTTGTTGATGAAATATCCACAATTACCACATAATCAACAAGTAAGACCAACACCAACGATCCATAGCTTTTCCTAACATCAGGTCACAAGTGCTGTTCATGAATAGCATTGTCCCTATGCATTCAAAATTTCATTACATTCTTCAAAATTTTACATTTCAGTCAATTCAGACGATGAAAAAGATTGTTGGGTCGATGAATTGAAAGAAGCTACATATTCACAAACAAATTTGGATTACAACAAGTATGGTTGGTAGACCAAACAAGGAGGTTCCTTCAAGTCATGGAAAGAACGTTTCTGTGTGATGGGAACTTCTTTGTATTATTTCGTAGATCCTCAATGATTATGTCAGTTTGAATTCAAATGATTAGACACTTGACAGCACAAGAAACTTTTTCTGAAAATCAAAAAGATAACGTCATTACGATTTATACCAGTCAACGTTCTTGGTATTTCTTTGCGGATACCATTCAGGTGAGTGTGTGTGAATAGAATTAGAACTTGCTATGAATTTTATGTGAATTATTAATGTCACTTGTCCATTGCGTAAATTTCATAAATTAATTTGTGGCATTGTCGAATTTCAATTTGTTGTTCCATTACAAATGAATAAGGTTTCTTCCTAACCAGCATTTCACAAAAGCTGACTGAATCGTTGACATTGGACAGCAGTACAGAAGGATAGACTGGTAACCCAACGTTGTTGATTGTATGGGATTTATTACAATGCACCTTTCGAATAGTTAATTGTCGTGTGTCACAATTCATTTCCAATTCCAATACAGTACCCTTTGTGAATTCCATTCCCTTCATGTTGTTCATTCATATTCCATGTATCACTATTAGAGCACAATAAAAAGGAAATTTTTGTACTTTTATCGGTTTTGATTGTCCCGACTCCTTTTTATTGTGCTTGATGACACAAGTTCTTGTGTGGACACTCCAACACCAATGCAACCAGCCAAACGGTCAATTTTGACTTGCCATTGATACGATCAATTGTCCATCTTGGTATTATTAAAAACAAAGTGATCATCAAAATCGCCCCTAATTTTGACGATCTTGACTGCAGTGTTGTGAATAGAAACTGTAGTCATGGACTCATCATAAAACCATTCATTGGATCTTTCTTGTAAGGTATTTGATACTACAGCACCCACGGATAAGTCAAGTGCTCCATATTTTTCAATTTGTTGTTTCAATTCATTCAATTTCTTCTCATCCTTCTTCCATTTCATTTCATGTAATTGTTGAATGGATTCAAATTTAAATTCTGAAACCATCTTTTCAAAATCTTTCAGAATAACTATCAGAGAATGAATCTTGTTGCTGGTAGTGACCAATTGTGTTGATAACATTAATCCCATGGAATGATTTCCAATGATTTGGTTTTGAAATAGAACAAAACTGAAGCCTTAATAAACTCATCTTTTGTTACCCCCTGATTAAATAAATCTGTTGAAAGTATACGACTTGCAGCACTAAAAATTGCCTCATAACCAGTTTTCTTTCTCGCCAACAACAGCTTCGGATACAAAGGTAATGATTGAACCAATGTAAATGCCAGCATCCATGACCGTCCATATTCAGCGATGTGATGAATCCTATCAATTGTAGACAAGTAATCTAATGTAACTTGTTTTTCTTCATCAGTATAAGAAGAATCAAAACCAAGCGTGTATAGAATAAAAAATGGGTCTTCGCTCAGTATTTCTATCATACTTTCTAAGTTTGGATTACTACCGGCTTCTTCTATCCATTTAAAACCCTTCATAGGAGTCACTTCCTGTGACATATATTCGCATTCTGGAGAATATTTTTTTTCAAGAAATTTGGAGTAGAGGGCTATTCGCTTCAAGGGATCATATGTGGGTATGAAACAATAGGACAAAGCTTCTTCAAAGCCTCTGAATTTGTTCTGCAAAGTTACTACATTAAATCCATCAAGACCAATATAAAATTCAGCAACTAATTTCTGTACAAAACGGTTATCCTTGTTTGTTTTCAACGAAACATCAAATATTTTCCGTTTTTTAGCAGGGAATGATGTTTGCATCATATCCATAGAGGGTTCTAATGTTAGTTCATATGTAGTAAATGAAAAGGTTTCATTCTCGACAATGAATTCATGATGGTTCACTTTGTGATCAACAATTTTAATTCTATTAACTGCGAACAAATTGAATTGTGGCTGTGGTTTTGGAGGGTATTCAACGATACATGTTGGTCTTTTTTCGGTCTTGTTTTTAGACAATTTTCTGAAAGAGATTTCAAATCTATCAATCACCTCATTATTTGTCGGAAAGATTGCCCTAATCCTCCACGTATTAGCAAAATCAATCAAAGGCACAACCACAATTTGATTGATATTAAAACAAAGCGAACAAGAAGGATCGGTTTCTAATCTCAATAAAGCACCAGAAGCCATTTTTTTTGTGTGATGATTTGTTGTGTGATGACGTTTGACGAATTCTGGTTCAAGTGAAGGTGGCGTGTGTTGCAAGAGATGCAAAACAAGAGTCTCTTCATGAACTGTGAGCAAGACAAATATTTATTATTTATTGGAATCTTTAACACTGTTTGTTGTTCGAAGATTTTCCACAATCAACTTTCTGAATAAGGGACATTGAGCAGCAAGAATCAACCTGTGAGAAGGAGGTACTTCTGTCTCACATGATGATTTAAAGCTCTTGTTTTTCTGCAGCCTGTGATCTCTCTTCCAGTAACCAATAATCCAGACCTTTTTACTTACATCATTCGGTTCTATAATCTGCAGAATATTTATAACCTTTTGGCAGGAAATTCCACTGAAAAAGAACGACTGAGAGCAGACATGTTGGAGTGTTCAAAAATTCAAAGTTCACCTGGTCTTTCAGTAGAGGTTGCACTGGCTCTTCTAATTTCATCACTTGATATTGTTTCAGGTAGGTCTTTATAAAAGAGCGGTGATTGATTTTTCAAGTAAGTGGTTGATTAATGTACACAGCACCCACACAGCTTGATGAACCTCACAACCAACTTCGCAAGCACGTTGTTCAGGACTTTGATGAGGTTAGATAAGCGCTTACGGTCAGACCTATTAATATTATTTAACCCAATATTACTAATCATAGATATTTCAAAAAGCAATAATAAACCATCCTTGCTTTATTTTCGCAATCTGTTCATTGATGGACTTGACACGTTCCATTTACAGCAGTTGCTCAAAACAAGCAGGTAACCTGTTAATATTTGAAGTATACTTTCCCACTTTACTGTTAACAACCCTACTTTGTTTGCAACATGTTGTGTCTGATTTGCTATTGATCTAAAAATTCCATGATCTTTTCCATTGTTTTTCTAAGTTGAGGTGAATAATAAAAGAATAATGGATAGCCATGAATATGGCCATTTTCAGCAATCACTTGCATGTGAGGATGTTTACCGTTCTTCAACGTTTGTACCATCTTGACATTGTCAGCTGTACCCTCCTCGTGATTACTGTAAACTACAAGTAATTTGGTTTGGCTAAAGGAAGAAATGACAGTGCTGTCAAAATTAATTGGAGAAAATGAAGGCTTCTCAGTTACATAGAGTCCTTGAATTAGCTCCACATTATTCTTGCTCACTAGAATGGTATTTTCTTCATCATAATTTTCTCCCAATGTCTTGCCACTCAAATCAAAGTAGCCAGAGACCATTGCAACTGCATGAGGAAGTTGTCCCTGTGCAGTGGCTCCAATCTTGGCCAACAAATTCATCACTAACGCTGGTCCAAAAGAGTCTCCCATGATGACAATATTTTGAGGTTTAAATTGGCGCTCGTTCAATAACCACTGATAAGCATTGTAGCAGTCTTCGAGTTGATCCTCAAAATTTGCTGCATACACATCTCGCATCTTCTTTTCATTTTCATCCAAACCAAGCAAACGATAATTCACAGACAACATGTACTTGATGGAATGAGTATATCTTGCATCGTTTAAAAACTCAACAACAGCACGTGCTTGCAATCCAGCTGCCAAACCTCCATAACCTCCACCTCCATGAATGTAAAACAATACTTTGGGTTCCTTACTCTTGTCCAAGTTGAAATCTTTCATTTGAACAAAAATTGATTTTCTCAAGCTTTCAATCTCTTCAATACTCTCACAATTTCTTCCGGCCAAGATGGGTGGATACAAGGCTTGATGTTCCATTGATTTTCTCAACCCATACTTGTCCAATTTTAATTGAGATTGTCCAGCAAAAGCCACTAAACTGTTCAAAGATTTAGCCTCAAGATCCAAATCCTTCCAGATGGGTCTCATCACGCTTCCCATCATGGGTACACTCTCCGTATAGTTGAGTCTTTTCTTTTCTTGCACAGTCATTTCTTGCAATCGTCCCAAATACTTGTTCCGAGCAATGATTGTATTCAATAAACTTCTAAAAATCATAACAGGAAGAGTGAGATGTCTGTTCCAATAAATCTGTAATGCAATTCCGACACCGGGAATGAGGGCGGAGAGAAGAAGGAGTTGTTTGAACATTTTTTTGAGGTCAACAACTTGTGTTTCGTAAAACTGGTCAGTGCTATTTCAAGTCATTCAGCAACAATCATTTTGATTAGCGGAATTAGTGCAAGGAGAGTGATCATCAAATTGATTGAAAAAACAAATTCAATAATTTTCATTTTTACAATCGTACAATGTCAGACATAACATGCAAGTCGACTTCCATTTGCTGTTCACTTTCAGCAGAAGGTCGATCCTATGTTTCAAATATCAACAGTTTAAGGCCTGTCTCAATGGCACACTTTTGGAGTTGAGAAGAAATGGGGTTTGTTCAAAATTGTACACGCATAAGCAAAAGGAAATATCAAATCTTGTAATGAATCCTTCTTTGTGCTCAATTCAAAATATTGAATTCGGTGATGGTGTAAATACTTGTCAGTACTGATTCCAATAACGGTTTCAAGAAAGTTGAAAATTTCATCTTGTGTGACCATGTGTGGAAGGTCAGATTTCAGACCTAGTAGTATCAGGCATGCATCATTCGATTCCAAATATTCGTAAACTTTTTCAATCCCATTGTGTGACTTCCAATCCTCAAATATCGAACGGGCAGTTTCAAAGGATGAATGATCACTGAGATCAAAGCAATAGTAAAAACCTTTGGCGCCTTTAAAAAAGCTCATAATGAAGGATCTAAATCTTACATCTCCTGCCGTATCCCATACTTGTACACCATATCGTTCTTCCTCTGAGAGTTGTAAAAATTTACTTCGAAACTCAACTCCAATGGTACTCACATAGTTATCTTCATAGGGAATATCTTTGAAAACTCGGTCAGCAAGAACACTTTTGCCACACTTTTGAGAGCCAACAAGTACGAATTTTACCACAAATGGTGCACCGTTATTGGATGACTTGTACTGGAATGCATTGACAATTTTCGGTTTAAATTCATTGTGAAAAAACAGCAAATTCTTTCGATGATTGTTTTCATATCGCTGTGGTAAGTACAACATGGTACACAGATCCGAATTATTGTTCCACAATTGTGGAAACTCGATCCAATAATTATAAAAGTTTTTCGAAACTCTTCCAAGCTTCAGCACACATTTCATTGGTAAATATTGTAAAATATAAATTATAATTTCATCAGGTAAATATTCTTCCAAAATACTCAAATTCTTGAAATTATATACTTTTTCTTTGTCGGGAACTTTCAATTTTTCATCGTCATGATTTAGTGTTGAGAAAACCAGCAAATAATTCGGAAACAAATTGCAAATTATTTTGTCTGAACCATCACTCATACAAGTACTTTCTTTCGTTGATGGTTGGGCGTGAGTCTTTGTTGTTGAATTGCCCATTTTTTTTTTGTAACTGATGTTCCTTCATGATCTCAAATTCAATCTCACTGCAAAATTTTAAGGATGTCACACTCTTTTGCAACTCAAATAAAATTCAGAGAACAACTGAACTCATCTCAATGAAATGATTACACACCAACAAACAATACGAGAATATTCATCCAATGGTCACAAGAGATCATCTCTGATTGGCAATCAAAATGAACCTGTTCTCAACGGACCTTTCTGTAATGACACGATTTTCGAAATTCTTCACTTTTTGGATTCTAAATTCATCCTCGGAGTGAGTTTGAAAATTTCAAAACAATGGAGACGAGTATCCTTTCAAATTCCATTGAGTTTGCTGTTCCGTAACGACCTTCGTTCCCATCAAGTCGTTCCAAAATTGATCGAATTCATGTCACAAAATGAAAATAATTTTCAAAATTTAACTTCTTTTCATTGGATGGACAACAACAAGATCTTGGACGAGCAAGTTGTGAAATCGTTGGTTCAAAGTGCATGTTTGAAAAATTTAACGAATTTGACATTGAGTGGTCGTATGGGCTCTGAAGGTGTCCATTCCATTGCCAAGAGTGAACATTTGCAAAAGATCATGTTTTTGAATTTGAGTGACAACCGAATGGGTGATTTAGGTGCTCTTTACATTGCGAACAGTGAACATTTGAATCATTTAACTTGTTTGAATTTGGAAGAAAATAATATTGAACGTGAAGGACTTGAAACTATTGTGAATAGTGAACATTTGAACACGTTAGCAATGTTGAAATTAAGATTCAATGTGATTGGTCCAGAAGATACCAAAATCATCGCCAATAAGAATTTGACATTATTGGATTTAAGCTTCAACAAGATTGGCCCTCTCGGTGTGGAATCTCTTGCTAGGAGCAGCAATATGAAACATTTGACGTCCTTGAGCTTGAGCTCGTGTTTCATTGGTCGTGAAGGTGCCAAATATATTGCCACAAGTGAATATTTAAAGAATTTAATTTCGTTGAATTTGAATGGTAACCATATAGGTTCAGAAGGCATTCGATACCTCTCGTTGAGTGAAAATTCGAAACAATTAACACACTTAGACTTATCTTTCAATTACCTTGGAGAGTTGGGTGCTTTTCATATGGCTTCGAGTTGCAATTGGAAAAATTTAACATCACTCGATTTGACAGGTAACGCGCTTTCAAATGTATTTCCAATAGTGAAAAATTGAAGAATTTAAAGTCATTGGATTTGAGTACCAATAGGATTAGCTCGGAAGGCGTAAAGTTGATTACGGGCTCGAGCAGCCTTTTGAAGAATTTGACCTCGCTTAGATTAACCTCCATGACTTGAGTAACAAAGATGTCCTTTCGATGTTAGACGGAGAATATTTGAATACTTTAACTGAGCTCGATGATTAATTTAGTTTTGACCTTTTACACTCCACAGCCGTACGGAATGAAAACAACAACAACTCTTACTGATCGACTACTACTACTACTACTAATCAGATTCGCTTGCCGTGGCAACCACAAAGAATCCCTTTTTCATATTAAAACTAGTAAATGAAAAGCATCCCCAATGTTCCAATCCAGGTTGCCAATAAATACTCCAACATTTTCTTCTCTCAATGGTTCCAGACCAATCAAAGATGTGATTTCCTTCATAATTGGTGTTAAATAAATATTCACGAATATTCGCAAGCACTTGTTCCATTTTCTGTTCTTGTCCTTTTCGAAGGTATAAACTATTGGGAGGTCGGGCACAATACTTGAAAATATCACACCTTCTAAAATCCTCAATTCTCTCTTCATGAGGAGTATTACTCACATGATGGTATTTTAACACTCTTTCCATATATGGATTAAGGGAAAGAATGTGAGGAGGTATTTGAAAATGAATGAAACATTCTGAATGAAAATATCCTTCTGGAACTTGTGTGAATTCTCCAAAATCATCCGAAGCGTCATCCTCATCAGACTCGGTTTGATATTCTCCTTCTTGATAAATTTCTTCTTCGTCTTCACTCTCGCTCCATTCATCATGTGGATGCACCTGACCATTATACATCCATGACAATAATCCTCCAGGTGTCGTTTTAAGAAGGGTTGTCAATGGTTCATTGTGACCCATGTTTTCACACGGTTCTACCTTAATATGAATGGATGAACTTGTCAATAGAGGGAATAAGGAAGCTAATAGAGCAAATTTATGAAAGGCAACCTTTCTCTTTCTGTGATGATTGGTTTTTGTATATGTTTGTTCATTCCATTGGAATGGTTCTTCATTCGAGACATGATTCTTAAATACCAGAGAAAGAACTGTCTCTAATAATCGACATGGTTTATACAGGGTCACTCGAACCACTCCTCCCAATCCCAAATACTTTTTAAAATTCACATCTGTTTCTTCATAATTCATGTCGATCAGAGGTGTGCAAATAAATTCTTTAAACAAGTCTCTAAAAAAGTGATCATTCGTTTCGAAGGGTGAATTTGAATTTTCCAATAATGGTTGCTGATTCAATCGAGCTAAATCTTGATGAAGAGATGACGACAAGTTGTTGGGCTCGAGCTCAGTGGTCACTTGCTCATGATGTGCAGGCAGTGTGTAAAATTGTTCTCGCAAATATTGAGATAATGGTTTCGAGTTCAGAACACTTGCATGAAAATCATGTCGTGTAAACAAGAAATGATCGATATGGTATGAAAAGAATTGCTCAGAAATGTGTTCCAACAATGCATTGCAACGGGAACAAGTGTGTCGGAGAGAGGAAACTGATTTCATATCGAGCAAGATGCAAATATTGAAGAAGAGAATGGTTGATGATGATTCTGATGTAGAATCGTGTTGTTGCAATACATCAATCAATGAAGTAGTGCCATTCTTTCCAAGCTCTGTTTCCATAGTCATTTCCGAAATTGTTGGCTGGCTCTCAATAATGATGAAAATTTCAATATTAATTTTGAAAATGTTTTTTTAATTCCGATACGAGTTGTCAATTTTGAAAGCAAACAATCCACACCATGAAAATGTCATGAATATTTTTTTTCTCTCCAAATTTCATGATTGAACCATCATGATGATATAACCAATAGATTCTAAATTCTGTTTCAAAGTAATAACAGATCATAAAACACCCAAACAACTGGAATCATCATTATTACTGAGAATTGGAATCAACATGTCTAACAATATTCTTTGCCCGAGTTTCATACAAATGAGAATGAAAATCAATACACTCCAAAAACGTCTTTCTCTGCACCGAATCTTTGATATCATCCACAGAAATATCCTTTTTCGATTCAACAGCCAACTTGTGCACATAATTCATCATATCTTCATAAATCTCTCCACACGGAGTCTTTTTATCATACAAAATATCAAAAAAGCTTTTTCTTCCCGATTGATAGGCAATCACATCCTTTTGAGTAACACTGGTGAATTTTTCAAAATCCCGAAAACTATATTCCACCAACACTTGATCGTATTCAATATTGTCTTGATTGGTGGTGTGTGCTTGTTGTTTTTGTTGAGAAGGTGGAGGTGGAGGAGGAGCAAAGGGATCTTCCTCTTCGTTCATCATGTTCCTTGATTCCGATGAAGACATTTTTTTCGAATTGATTTATTTCCAAATTTAAACGCCATAAAAGCCCTGTACGGAAAATCGAGTCAAGTCAAACCAGGTTGCATAACAACATTACATCTCGTCCATATTATTAAGCCTTCTATCTTCATGTTATTCACCTGGAAGGAACATTGTTCCATGCTCAATAATTTTCATGGAGATTTTCTTTGTCGACTTGACATGTTCGTAATGGTATCGCGCCAAGTGAAATATTGGAAGAAATCCATTCATTATTATTGACCTTAATAGCTTAAAAACTCTTTCTTATAATTATTACAAAGCAACACCAAAACCCAAAAATTACTTGTCCCACGAATTCAGTTGATATTTTGTGTTTAATGCTTGATGTCATGAATGCAGAGTTTGGAAATAACCACGGGTTACAACATTCCACCATGATTTACTAAATCTGGATCCTCAATGTCTCTTTTTCTTGTTGTTAACTGAAAGTTGAAAAAAAAACAACTGCCAGTAGAACATTCTAAATGCATTCTGTTTCAAAATTCCCAACGACTCTCATAAAAAAACAAAACTGCATGACCAGTCTCTTTGGAATGTGCTCATTTAGTTCTCGTGTTGTATGGACCTTTCCTCTTCTTGTATTGATTCTTTTTAGTTGTCTCTCGGTGAATGCTAATGACAAGGTGGATTTGTCCCGAGTGGTTCTCACCCTTTCAGATCGATCCTTTGGAGGTTGTTATTACTTGGACAAGCTCAACATTACTGTTGAACTCTATGGAACCGATAACCAATTGTGGTCAAATTCAAGTACTGTTTCCAATGTCAAGCTTGAAATCTTTGCTCCTCAAGTGCCTCCTGTCAATGGTCAAATCCTTTGGACCAAAACTTGGAATGGTACTTTAAGTGGGGGTAGAGTTAAAGAATTAGTGGATCCCTTTTCTCTTTCTAACACGACATGGTTCGGTAATTATTCAATCAAGGCAACAGCCACGAATCGGTATGGCAATGAAACGAAGGTTGGATGGCAATGGTTTGTCATATTTAGTGATGCCATGTCAGTGTGGAAGCATCAAGGCATGGGAATGATGGTTGGAATGGTCTTATCGGTAACCACATTGTTATTGCTGTTCTAAGATTGATCAAAATTCTAATTCGTTCGTTTCATAAACACCCAAACTCTTTATCATTCTAATGATACAAAAATTACAAGAAGGGTAACGAAAGCTCTCGTTGTCTTTCTGATCGTTGTTCAACAGGACCACTCACTTGATTTGCATAATATTGTGAATCATCATTTCGAATTTCATCTTCATCGTCGTCGTCTTCAAGTCTTTGCACGCCACCATTGAGATCGACCAAACCTCCTCCCATAAAATGATTAATATGATGAGCAGTACTTCCCTTTCGAACATGATATTCAACTTCCACTCCTTCCTCCTCACCACTGCCGCCACCATTCTGAGATTGATGCAAAGGATGAGTTGGTAATACATGAGCAAACTGAACTGCACCGTCTTCATGAGAGAAAAGTCCTAAATTAAGGGCCACTCGTGAAGGAGTATTCGTGCCACTATTGGCACCACCATGTTGATGAATGGAAGAATCGTCCTCATCATCGTTTTGATTAATTCGAATCAATGAAGAATAGTGATTGCCTTGTTGTGATTGTTGACCATCTTCTTTCATCAACAATGTTTTATCAATTCGCGTCGAGGCTAACACCAGTCCTCCATCTTGGTCGTGTTCTTGTTGATGCAATTGATCACGTCTCGCTGCCATGGAGGAATGCAGGAGAGATTTCTGAAGGTTCCAAAAACGTTTCGCGAATGGAGATTTTCCTCCACAACAGAACATGCCATAGAAAATTAATTCATAACTTTCTTTAAAGACCTTATTTGAGGGAAAGAGGACATAGATGAGTGAACCTCCAAATCCAATGATGAGCACGCTTGCAAAGAAGGGTGCATATAAATAGTAGAATCGTGTGACGGGATATTTACCATATTGACTTTGATAGATTCGACCTGCAATGTCAAAGACCATGTAAAAGCCAGGGAAGAGAGCAAGTAGACAGGCTGCCCCAAGGAATTTTGTGAACTACAGGTGGAAATGATTCCAATATTGAAAAACGATTAAGCTGATCTCTCATCACAATTACACTTACCCTAAATTGGAAAAAGCTAACCTTAGAAACTCGTCGCAAACTTAAATAAATACGAAAACCATAAATAAATAATCCAAAAATTACAATGGCAAATACAATAACCAAACCAAGCATGAAAGCGGCAGAAGCAAAAAATTGAGTAAAATAATCTGAAACTGCATAAGCAAAAACTCCTAAAAGGCCCAAAGCCATAAATAAAAAAAGTGGAATTGAGATCTTCAATGAAATTCGTTCACTATTGTTGGAAGTCTTTTTCAAAACATCAACCCACATGGCCAAAATTGGAATAATTCCAATAAGACATAGTCCAATTCCCGATAAAAACATGACACTCTCTGTTTTGACAGCTTCTGTTGGGCTTTCTATCGTGGATGCAGCTGCCAAAATGTCACTTGTTAAAAAGCATAAATATGCTACTTGTAATATAATAGCTGAGTATAACCGTAAATCGAAGAGTATTCGTTTCCAAGTTCTGTTATGATGCAAACTCGTCGTTGTGGAATAGAATCGAATTTGTTCCGACTTTTTAAATTTTTCAATCATTCCACGTGTGTTAATCAATGCTGTGAATTGTGGCACCTTTAATGCCTTTCCTTTGACTTTCATCGTGATCTCTTTACAAAATTGAGTTATCAGTGGAAGAAGAACCAAGAAAAACATGGCAATATTTAACATGACTTCCAAGGTAATGAGTGCAATATTGAGTAATTTTGTTTCGTACAGGGGATACCAGAAATAGGCATATTCATCACACTAATGTTGAAATAATTTCGTTGCGTGCACATTTTCATCATCCACCACAATTTCATTGGTTCACATATTAAATTTTGCCATATTAATTTACCATTTCAATAAATATTACAAAGTCTAACAAACATACCTGAGAAGAAACTTTGGTTTTGAAAAATGTATAATTAAAAATCATGACATCCTTTCCATTACTTTTTGGAACAACAGTTCCAGGTCTTGGACAATAGCACAATGGCTCAGCAGTCATGCTTAATACATTTCTAAAAATGTTATCCCTTCTCTGAACAATCTCCAACAGTGGATAACCAACTGTATCTGCTTCATCAATAATTCCATTATTATTGGAATCATAATTGCAAGTGAATGGATAGTCTAACGTAAGACAAACATCTCTTCCAGGCAAAATTGGGTACTTTCTATAGTCACGACAAGCTCTGCAAACAGTATAGTAATCTGAAATATGCTGTAATGTTGTGAAATTAAAGGGTAAATGAGGAACTAGAGTGTGCATGAGCTTATTGTAAGATTGTGACACTAATAATGATTGAGGATCAATATTGTAAGAACTATCTTCGAAACTTTGAGCCCATTTTTGGAAGAATGAGAGAGCTACACGTTGTGGAAAGAAATTTGTGTAGATGGTTGTGTTGGTTAAAAGTTGTGTGAGGTTGAGTCCAAAGGGTGATTTAAAATCATTGACTAGTTGCAAAGTCGTATTGGGAAAACAAAATAATCGATCACACACTTGTGTGAAATCAAAGTTAAATGTCACATTCCTCATCACAACCGTTCCATTCACTAGAGCTTTGTAGGAATATGTAAATTTTTCATAAATTTGACACATGTTCATTTCATTTCCTAAATAATATAAGATATCTTCTGATGGATTCGTCATTGGAACATATTTTCTCCATTTGTTAATGGTAAATTGGGGACACGAAAGTGCATTAGGTTGACCCTCAAATTTGGTTGTCCATTCCGTTTGATTATAAAGTGGAATTCTTGCATTCAATATTCTATCGAGCTCGGATGAATAAGATTGTTTTCGATTTTTCGGATCTCTCAAGAATTCATCCCAATGTCCTCTGTAAATGGCATATGGACATGTGGTTGTGTTGATACTATTTGTAGGATCAATGTTTTGTTGTGAAAGTGATGGTTGTCCTTTTTCCGTCATCGTTATTGATGATGAGTCTGATGATGATGGTTGAAAAGACATGAATAATTTGGATTTTGTGATGCTGAGTGGCTTTTCATCATGATGCGGAGCTGGATGATGGCGGAGAAGGGACATGAAGAGTGGTCGAGAAGTATCTTGTTTGGAATCGTTGTCGAGAGGAGTGGTGAAATGAGGAGAAGAGGCTATTTCAGTATTGGGAATTTCATCATCATCATGATGAGAAAAGAAAGAAGAGGGATGATTCAAGTCCAACACAAAAGTATCTGATATGTTTGGATCATCATTGCTCTGCTGCTTGGCAGTTGTTGCGCCTTGTACATTCCATGAAGCAAGGATTGAAAATGTAAGAATCATGATGATGATGATGAAATTCAATGTCATGATCCGTGGTTTTGAATGTGGATGTAGATTCTTATTGATGTGTCCATGTTGATGATGATTCAGCTGAAACATTCGAAATCAACGTAACGTTAATATGCAAATAAATTAGAGTCGGTGCGGGAGGAGAGCCAATGTGAGATGGAGTTTGCCAAACGAACCTCAAAGTCGACGGCGAAAAAGTGTAGTGCCGATGATGATCTTTTTTATTGTGTGCAGCGGAGGAGTTTAGTTCAGCGCTGAACATAAATTAGTTTTTTAATTAGGGTTGAGGAGGATTATTCTCACCATTTGTGGTTTTCTGTTGCTGTAAAACAATCTCATCCACGTGAGAGAATTTTGAACCTACTTATTGCTTAGTTTTCTTGGTATCCGAAGAAGAGGTGGCAGTAGAATCTTCAACTACTGAGCTCTGATCCAGTTTTCTCTTTCTTGGTTGTAAAATGTGTACTTCGCTTTGTTCTTCGTGTGATGAGGAGCTTCCAGTGTTGGTCCTACTATTCGAAAAACCTAGTTGAGTGCTTCCCATTCGATTCGTAATGACCTCTGAGAAGAGCTTGCGTGCATCAATTCTCTCTGGTGATGGAATTCCTCCTTGTTTGGCTTGAATTATAGTATTTCTCATTTCCACAATTCGTTCATTCAAATCTGACACAATAGACTTGTCATTTTCAATGGCTTTTTGTCGCAATTCCACCGATTGTTGAAGAGCCTTCTCTGCTTTTTCATACAATTCCAACACCTCTTCGCCCTCAATACCGTCCGTTGTAAGACAATTTGCAATCTCTAAATTGGCCTCAGCGATTTTTTGTAACAAGTCAACCTTAAAATCATCTCTCTTGTGGAAAATGTTTGCTGCAAGTCTAAATAAATTAAAACCAATGTCATCCGATTCTTCCAAAGCTTTTTCATAAATTTGTAAAGCTTTTCTATATTCAAGTACAGCTTGTGAAAACATGTCGGTTTCAGCGCTCAATTCTCCCAATAAAGAGTGAACACGAGCAAGTTTCATTCGATAATTGAGTTGCATTTCACTTGGCGATGAGACATTACCACTCACAAGATATCTCAACATTGAGACACGAGCCAACTCCAATACTCCCCAAGCAACTTCAAAACAATCTTCTTCCTCTTCTTCTTCAAATTCTTCATCTTCAGAGTAGCCTTGTTCTTTCATTTTTCGTTTTTTGATGGCGCTTGTCACTTGTTTGGACACCAAATTATCGGCTTGATATTTACCACGAGCAATCAACATTTCTGCATAGGGAATGAGAATTTCTCCACACTCCACCGAGCTCTCGCCAAATTGTTCTTCACGATCTCGCACGATTTGATTCCCGAAAATCTCAATGGCTTCATCCAAGAATGTGAGTGCTTCTTCCAATGCTTCTCCTTCCAACTGCTTTTCGGATGCATTGACTCTTCTCTTATATTCAGAGTAGTTATCCAATGCCTTGAGGAGAGCATCTTGATTCATCACGAGATGATCCTGGAGGGAAATTTCATTTGTTGAATTGGGTAACTCTTCTCCTCCGATGTCCTCTTCCTCTTCAATATTTTCTTCAAAGGCATCTGCAACTACTTCATCAATTTCTGCAAGATCGTCAGCTGCTGTGGGAATGTGGTTTGCTTCGTGTTCTTCAGCCATGCTGGTTGTTAATCGATAATATTTTTTTTTTAAAAAGTTAACACAATTTGTTGGCGGGCGATCTGAAGAAAATTTTTAACGGTCAGAATTGAATTCACCTTTAGAATTTTCAGCTTTGCATAATGCCGACTGAACTAAGGACGTATTTTCATTAAGTTTCATGTTAAAACGTGCATTCACGAAAAAGCGCACACTTTCACGTTTGTCGGTGTTTTCAGTGAAAACCATAAAACTGCTGGGCGTGAAAGGCTCCGTCTAATAAAAATCAAAAAAAAAAGCCCCAAACACATCAACCGCTGTCTTTTTCAACAACAACAACAACCTCAAACAGTGTTACATCAATCAAAAATTTTTTCTTCATCTTCAGAACTGTCGCCACACACACCACCACTTGTATCATCAACAGCAGCTAGCTGCAAAGACGCTCGTTTACATCTCTTGGAACAAGATAGGGAGCTTTTACAGAGAGTCAAGCAGGATATTTTTACTACTTCTCTTTGTGCTCCGTATCGTACCTTCATCATGAAAAGAAATCCTCGTTCGAGCATGTCCACTATGCAGCAAGAATCATCATCATACAAACTTCCCATGCCATCTGTGCTAATGTATGGAAAATCAACACCAACCATTGGAACGATTGGTGGATCTGGTGCCGATGATGCCCAATCTGCCTCCTTGAATATGGGTTCTACATTGTTGAGTCATACATTTGATGAAGAGGATGGTGAGGATGATGATGATTCATCAATGGCTTCACTTTCATCCGAAGCATCCGCTTCAAGTATTGGACAATTGTATATCCAACGCAACGGCAATAACAATCATCATGCTGCTACCATGACTCAAAACATTTCAACGATTGGTGCTGATTCCTATAGTACTCTCCCACCCATTCAAAACGTGTTTTATTTGGGAGCAACGAATTTGTATGGGAATGATAATCCGACACGACCTGCAACAAGCAACATCAACAGCAATGGTAGTGCTGAATATCCTGCTACATTGTCATTGAGTGTTCAAGAAGACCCAACTTTTCTCAATAGTTTCTATGATGATGGTTATTGTAGACCATTCAAACTCAGAGTGAGAATTAATGATTTGAGTGAGAAATTACCTCACGGAATTTACTCTGGACTTGTCGACTCCATGACCTTGTTGACTTTGACCAAGCCTTATAGCATGTTGAGCACCAAAGTTATTGTTCGTGAAGGAACCAATAACGAGGAAATTGGACATGTCACTAAGGATCTTTTCAAGAGAAACTTTAGCGTCAAATCCAATAATAAGCTTCTCTATAAAATTGTTCAAGACAAGAATGTTCCCTCAACTGGTGCTTTTAGCGAGAATTATTCCATTTATGAGCAAAAGGAAAAGATTGGAATGATGATGGTTAAGAAGGGTAAAGAATTTCGTCTCGATGTTCCACCTTCCTTAACTCCTGAAGATAAGGCACTCTTATTGTCTGCCATGATTCTCATTGTTTTTACTTACTATGAAGATGCAAAAAGCCAAACCTTCTTTGCCAAGAATTGTAAGAAGAAGCAGTACAGTCATCAAGTACCACCAACCTTTGATCATGCTGATTTCAATAGTGGATTTACCACTAATGGAATGAATCAGTCATCATCCATTCATGCCAACGGAGATTATCAACAGAACAAGGTTGGGGACTTGCTTCCTCAATCGAATCGATATTTATGACGATCTCACCTTGCTGGTTTGCTGATCATTTTGTTCATCAATGCCATGGTTAACATTGAAGACAATCATTCAAACCTGCAAGGATTATTCATTAACCATCCATCCTCAACCTTTTATCAACAACAACAAGAGAAGAACATGTCGTCTTTCGAAACATGTAGTGAACAATTTCCAATTGTTTCAAAAGGCAGTTCAAGCCATGCTACTGTCACTTTGAAAACTATTGCATGTAATTTCTCATTCTTAGTATATATTTCAAATAATCACAATAAACCTTTATATTCTTGCACCAAATCCAGTAGTGTACCAAACTACCTGCTTTTACCTTGCCTACCTTTTCAATGAAATACCTTGTAAATTTCATGCAACGAAAATGATCCCAATTGCGAACAAGGAAATTGAAACTGACAAATTTCGTGAAACATGACGACCAAGACAACTTGAAATTTGTCAAAAGACTCTCTGTACCTTCTTCAACAAGCTGCATGTTCGTTCAATATGTAACATTGCCCTCCAGAATCTACATGGGCGAGTAACCAATCGAGTCGAGTTGCTTTTCCGTTTAGAAACAAAATCACCAAGGGCATCGAGTGTCGGAAAAAGAAAAAAATTGATCGTCTTCACTGAAGAAAAAACGTCACGTCGCATTTCCTTTTGAAAAGAAGAAGAAGAATCTTCCTCTTCTCATTATTGTCTCGAGACGTTTGTGAATATTGGTGGATATCACTGAACAACGACTACAAACTACAACAACAACGACAACAACAACTACAACAACAACATCATCATTGAAAGAGTTTTTTCAATTGATTTGCGTGAATGTCAACACTTGTTACCCCAAGTCTTCCTCCCTGTACAACAACAACAACCACTGCTACCTGTTCTTCATCACGTTTTGTCAATAACGATACGACACTCTCATCCATTCATTCATCTCTGTTGATGAGTCCTAACAATAACATTCATACAAATTGTACGACTAGTAGTACTACTCATCAACAACAACAACAACAACAACCATTCAAGATACAAACAACAACTCCATCTTCGTCGCATCAACATTTTCGTTCCTTTTCAACTCCTATTACTTCTAACATGCCACTACAAAACACAAATGCCACCACCACCGCAACAACAACAACGAGTGCATTTATCATGAATGGAGTTGGTCATTCATCCATTGCTGTTGTTGGTGCTGGAGTGAATGGAGGAAATGTGAACTCGCCGACGTCTTCGAATCCATATCAATTTCACATTAGTGGTTCCTCATCGAATAATCTTCAAGTTGTGAATTCTCTCAATAACAACCCTATCAATGGTACCAATAACAATAATAACAATGGTATTAATTTAAGTGGATTGTTATTGAAAAATCGATGGAAAATTCAGGGTTTGTTGGGACAAGGTAGTTTTGGATCGATTTATTCAGCGCATGATTTGGTGACTTCGGACGAGGTGGCTGTCAAGGTTGAAAAGGTTCAATTAACGAAAAATAGCTTGTCACCATCAACGTCAAATGCCAATGGTGTGCCACCTTCTCCGCCCATTCCACAAACTTCTTCACTCAAAGTCGAAGTATGTGCACTGAAAAATCTTCAATCATGCCGATATGTTGTCACATATATTCACAGCGGTAGACAATATGTAAATTATGGAACTGAGACAATAGCTCTGAATTTTCTAGTGATGGAACGATTGGGAGAAAATCTTGCAGAATTGAGAAGAAAAACCTCGAGTGGAGTTTTTTCAATTGCAACCACAATGCGATGTGGAGTTCAAATGATTGAATGTGTCGAAGAGGTCCATAAAGTTGGATTTCTTCACCGTGACATCAAACCAGCCAATTTTGTAACCGGAAAATCAAAGAATGCTCAAGGAAGAATTTATCTCATTGATTTTGGTCTTGCTCGAGCTTATAAACATGAAGATGGAAATCTGAAACCACCACGAAAAGATGTTGGATTTAGAGGAACACCTCGCTATGCAAGTGTGAATGCACACAATGGAATTGAGTTGAGTCGACGAGATGATTTGTGGTCGGTATTTTATGTGATGGTTGAAATGGTTGGAGGTAGGTCATGATTTTTACAAGTTTTGAATTAATTGTGAAATGATGTTGTTGGTGTGACATGATTATTTTTTGCTTTTTTTTCATTGAACATTCAATGGACGTTGCAAATACTACAATTCTGGTGATATCATTCCAACAACGACTTGTCATAACAAGGCAATTTACCATGGAGGAGAATTCGTGACAAGCCAACCATTGGAAAACTGAAAGAAACTCACACGTTTCAAAACACTGAAGAATTACTTCGTGGCTTACCTCCACAATTTACCACCATGTTAAATTATCTCAAAAAACTTTCCTTTGAATCAGAACCTGACTATGACTATTTGAAGAATATTTGTAAATCCTATTTCGCTCCTCACAAAGATTCCTTCGATTCTAGATCCTATGACGAATGTCAATTTGAATGGATTTCCAAATCGAATGATCTCACTCATGACAGTAGTAGTAATCTATCTCAGGAATTAATTATTACAACCAATCCAGATCGTACCGATTCAAGATCAAGAACTACCAAATTATCGACCTCTGTCTTTTTTGGATCGACTCATCTCAGTGCGAATAGTAATATTGGAAATCAAGCAGCGGCGATTGGAAATTGTGGTGAATTTTCAAAATCACTTCCTGACATGTATAAAAAGAAAGGTCATGAAGATCATGAAATGAATGAAGAGGCCGTTGCTCCTGGAAAGAAGAGACAAAAGAAAAAGAGGAAGAATAGAAACGAACAAGATCAAGCACACAATAATTCGAATCAACAGTTAGGATTACGACCTGAGAAACAACCTCACTGTAAATGCACGATCATGTAAATAACAAGTTTTCAAAGTTGCTGTTGAAATATTTACAAACTTTTTACATTTCGTGACAAACCGAATGAATGTTGAGTGGTATGAATTTGACATTTTGTCGTCCGAGTGTGTGAAGACTCATTGAATTATGGCGATCATGTTCGCCACTACAAATTCCACTCGTTGTCAAAGCTACTGAAGTCAGGAACGTCCGCGTGTTGACTGTAGCTCATGGGATTGTTGATACCAAGGAGTTCATCCAAGTGTTGAGTCAACTCAAACTCCTTATTTTCTTCTGTTTGTTGTTGGTCAACATGACCTTGCATTGGAAGATTTGAATTTTCAATAGGTGGGATGTTCTCGTCCGTAGCAGGTTCTGGAATGCTTTGTTGTGGAGTAGTTGTCAAGTGTTGAACTTCTGCATGTTGTTGACTCAAGGCACTTCCAAAAAGCTGCAATGACGCACACCAATACCAATAGTTCACGCATTCTATAACTCCTGGAACACTCCAAAGTGTTTGAAGGGCCGTGAGCAATTGCTGATAGGATGGAGTTGTGACATGATCAGTACGAACAGGTGCAAACCATACAACAGGTTGAGCTGATGGCACTTGTGTTGTCATTTGCAAATTGGTTGTTGCTACTATGGATGCTTCATAGCTTAATGGAATTGTTCCTTCATTGGAATACGCTGTGGTTGTAACATTGTCAAATGGCACTTGGGAATTCACAACTGGTTGTGGTTGTTGTGGTGCATTTGAAGTTACACATTCTGGAGAAGGTTTGCGTTTCTTACTTGTTTCCATGTCTTCGGCTTCATCTTCAGTTGCACCATCTTCCTGAAATTCATCTTGAGATTTTCTCTTCTTGTTGTCCAAAGGTGATTGTTTCTTTTTGTGAGTCGATCTTTTAGATACCTTCTTCTTCTTCTTGGAGCAGTGGGAAGCAACTAACTGATCTTTTCTTGTAGAATTGACATCGTAGGTAAACGCTTGACAGATCACTGCAAATCTGCCATCTCCAAGCTCCATCAATAAAAACATCTTTTCAAACGTGGACCCTTTTGGATATCCTGGCTGAGGTTTCGAATTGATGCTAAACACACCATCCTTTCCTGGTTTATAGACACCCCAATCAAAGACAGAGCTTGATCCAGTGCTGCCGCCTTCTTGAAGCGAATATAAATGAAATTCGGTAATGGTTTCAGTGGGTGGTAGTTGAGTGAATTTGATTTTGGGTTTTCGACGACGAAGCACAGTGGTGCATTGGTCGTCGTCAAGTAAAACTTCCACACGAATGTCATTCCATGATGATCCGATCTGACAAAGCTGTTCGATGGCAACGGATGCGTCGGTACAGCCCAAGAGGGATTTTCCGTGCTCTTCTTGGAATTTGGCAACGGTGAAGCGAGGAAGGAGTCTCAGAGTAAAGCCCATCATATGGTTTGTGTTGTTGTTGTTTTTTTTTTAATTTTTTTTGTTTTTAGATGACATTTGGCGCGTACTTGAAAAAAATAGATTGCAAAAATTAATGCACTTGTTTACAGTTGGTGATCATGTAAATAACAAGTTGAACGAGTTTTCAAAGTTACTGTTGAAATATTTACAATTTTGTTACATTTCATGACAAACCGAATTCACATTGTCACTGGCAAATGGTATGAATTTGACATTTTGTCGTCCGAGTGTGTGAAGACTCATTGAATTATTGGAAAATGGACTCCTCATATGTCTGTCCTGGAGAGCCTCCAAAGGTTCCACTTGGGAAACTAAAACTGTCATCACCAAAGAAAACATCCAGCTTGTTCTCTTCTTGCATCGTTTGTTGTTGTGATTTTGAATTCTCTCCTGTAGAAAACAAACGATCTTGAACGTAATCAGAGTCCTTGGATTTCTTTGCATGTCCGTCTGGGGGTTGCAATATTTGATTTACCTGTTCATTGGCTACCTGTGAACTGTCGGACGTAAGAATTGATGAATTGGGATTGTCAGTGTTCTGGTCCACCATTGTTGTTGCTTGTTGTGTTACTAATGTAGTTTGCTGAAATGACAATTGTGGTGGTATTCTATTAAAGAAATGAAAAAGCCATTTTTGATGTTCTTGAAAGAGTTGTTGAAATGTCGTGTACATGGAGATGTAATTATATTGGCCATACGTAACACCGTTCACATCCACATGCAAGGGTGCTGCTCCATTGGTGATCGCTTCTGTATTCCATGCGTTGGTTCTTCCACTTGAGGTGGTTCGTTGGATGATGAGGTTGAGGCCATTGCTGTGATTGAATAGTGTTTTTGTTTCTTGTGAGAGGATTCTGTTTGATTAATCTCGCTTTCGCCTTGATTTTCTAAAGCAGCTCCATCATCCAATGATTTTCTCTTGTTGGTCGAGTGTTGTTGTGTTCTCTGTTGTTTGGTTTTGTTTGTGATCGCTTTCGATGCATTGAATGTAAACTGTTGATTGATCACACCAACTCCTCTCTCATTTTGGAAATCAATGATCAGCCACATGTTACCCTTGGAGAAGCCTTTGGGATGACCAGGGACTGGTTTCACAATATCAATAATTAACTCCTGTTGTTTCTTGTTATTGGATTCCGAAGTAACATATTCGTAATGTGGACGATAAGTTACCCAATGATAATCTGTCATTTCCTTGTTCTTTCCCAAATAGAGAGCATGTAATTTCAACTCTCCGGATGATGGTATTTGAGTAGGTGAGCCTTTGAGTTTGGCGAATTGAATTTTTGGTTTACGTCTGCGAAGAGTAGTGGTACATTCATCATCGACCAAGATTTGAACCATCAAGTCAGTGGCCGTTCCCTTCTTGCCAATATATTCGATGGCCTCGGATTCGTTGGTACAGTCCAAGAGGGATTTTCCATGTAAATCTTTGAACTGATCAAAGTTCAAGCTTTCAAAAAGTGTCAAAGCAAAGTACTCCATGTTGTTGTTTTTTTTTTGTTGTGTTTGTCAGATTAATTTTAGTGCCTCATGCTCTTAAGAATATTCTAATTGGTGAAAAATACGAAAATGTCAAACGAGTTCTATTTTCTGAGGGGCGAACACGTGTTGTGATCACGTTAAAAAAAATTGACAAACAATCCATTCAGAAAACAATCAGCATTATTTGAAACGATTTAACGGAGTGTTGTCAGCACTATCTCAATGTTCTCTACCGTTATTTCAATAAATATTGAATCATAATAATAACAACTGACACGTAAAGTAGTTCTTTAAAAAAAATACATTCTCTCTGCCATGTTCAAAGTCTTGGCCAAACTCGAATCAGAGCAATCAGAGCTAAAAGTTCTCTTGAAATTATCCAATGAAACCACCTTTGATTCTCTTTCCCAACAATTACAAACACACTTCTTCCCGCATGCAACCTCTCCAAATAACAACAACCGTTCATTAACATTTGACATTTCCTTTCTTCATGTTCGGGATGATCAACCCATGCAAATTCAAAATAATGATCACGTCAAGGAATTTATTCAACAAATTTCTCAAACTACAAATGGTGTCAACAAGAAGGAGTATAAAATTCTCACATGCAAAGTGAGACGTGAAGAAAGAGTGGTCAGTGATGATGATGATGATCGGAATGACAAGATTGAAAATGTTGACCATGTTCAACCCTATGATTCACGACTTGCAAGTGATTCGTTTGTGATCAGAGGAGATGATGACAATGCTAGAAAGGTTGTCACTTTGAAAACAATGGATGATGAGGGTTTCGATTCAAGATTGGCAACTGATTCTTTTTTGATCAATGATGACAAAAAGGATAGAGCTCCAATCAAGATCGATGAAGAAAAATTGGACTCTAGATTTGCCAATCTATCTTTTGAAATGTTGAATACTTCTGCCAATAAGGAAAATGTTGAACACAATCCATTTTCGTCTGACCAAGAAGAATCGACGACATCTACCTTATCTGAACTTGAGCGAGTTCAAAAAATGTTAGATTCTCAATATGAACAATTGACTTTTCTTGCATCAGGTGGATTTGGAACAGTGTACTCTGCCATTCGAAAAGGTAATCAAAAAAAAGTGGCTATTAAAATAATGAAAACAGAAAATGAATGGAAATTGGCGAACAGTGCTTTGAAAGAGTTTGAAAAGATGGTGAAATTATATCATGAACATATTGTCAAGACTTATCGAGCATTTTTTGTTGGAGCATTGTCATCGATTGGAATTGAAATGGAATTGATGTGTGGAAGTTTGATGGATTTCATTCAAAAAAAACAAGTGTTGAATGAGAAAGTATTGTTGAAAATATTGAAACAATGTTGTCAAGCTTTGGAATGGATTGAAAAGAATCACAATGTTGTTCACAGAGACATCAAACCTCAAAACATTTTGACAAGAAGTGTCGATTTGAATGAAAATGAAATTAATGTTGCATTGGCAGATTTTGGATTGGCTCGAACTGTTGAATCAGTGAATGTTACACAATTTGGTGGAACCAACAACTACTTTTCTCCTGAGGTTATTTCAAATCAAACATTTTCATTTGCAAGTGATGTATTTGCGCTTGGAGTGACCATTTATCAATTAATGTCATTTGATATGACCACTGTTTGGTCTACCAATATTCTAAACACGAATTACAAATCATTGCAACAATTCATTCGAGACCGTTCTCAATCTCCAACCTATTCCGACTTTCTTCTAGACTTGATCATTTCCATGCTCAAATTTACTCCATCCGAACGAATAACCGTATCACAAATTTTAGAACGAATTTCTCAATACGAGCAAGTTGGAACCAAAATATTAATTCTAAGTCTGTCAACTGCAGAACAAGATTTTGAACATGGAAATCAATGTCTTGCAAGGGGAGACACAACCCAAGCTTTGGAATATTTTACAAAATCAGCCAATGAAGGATATGTTGCTGCACAACATGCACTTGGAGATTTATACAATTACAAAGACAGAGTCATGCTTCCAGATTACTCACTCGCCAAATCGTGGTATGAAAAAGCAGCTGAACAAGGTCATGCATCTTCACAATATGAACTTGCCTATATGTATGAATATGGAGTTAAAAATCATGATCAAGAAACGATTGTTGAAATTAATCCATTCAAGGCATTGGAATATTATGAACAAGCAGCAAGTAATGGGAGTGATCAAGCTCAATTACGTTTAGCACAACTCTATGCATCTGGAGAGGGTGGTCTTTTACAAGATTATAACAAATCCTTTGAGTTCATGAAAAAAGCTGCTGAACAAGGAAATACTGCTGCACAAGCCATGCTTGGAATGATGTATCATTCAGGAAGAGGTTGTGAAAGAGATTTAGCGATGGGATGTGAATGGATTGAGAAAGCAGCTCAGAAAAACGATTCTCTTGCACAACATCTTCTTGGAGTGGCCTATCGATTTGGAGAAGGAGTACCACAAGATTATTCGAAATCCATAGAATATTTTGAAAAATCAGCTGCTCAAGGTAATCATGGATCACAATATGAACTGGGATTTGCTTATCAGAATGGTATTGGTGTCATTCCGGATATGGTCAAAGCAGTTGAATGGTATGAAAAAGCTGCCACGGAAAATCCTCTCGCTCAGTATGCTCTTGGATTGATTTATAGAGATGGATACAGAGATTTGATACCTGCGGATTTGCCAAAATGTTGTGAATACTTTTTAAAGGCAGCTAATCAAGGACATGCACTTGCTCAACATGAACTTGGAATCATGTACAGTTTTGGTGCAGGTGTTCCAAAAGATGACTCGAAAACATTGGAATGGTTTGAAAAGGCTGCAAATGCTGGATACGCAAATTCGCAATACATGTTAGGACTTATCTATGAAAATGGAAGACATGGAGTTCAACCAGATGTGATGAAAGCTTTTCAGTGGTATCAACAAGCTGCATTTCAAGGACACTTTTCAGCCAATGAAAGTTTACAACAGCTGTTTATGAAGCTTAATGGTAATTTTGGAATGCCCTTGAATTAAAATGTTTACTTCTTCATATGATTGAGAAAATTTAAATAGATAGAAATTGTTAGATCCTCGTTAATTCAATTACCTCATTACACCTGATTCTTCAACTGATCGATTACACAACTCGTATTACAAAATGCTGCAACAACATGTTGATTCAGTATTTGGCTCTTGTCTTGGTTGTTTTTCGGTTGGACTTTGCACTGTGTTATTCCTTATTTCACTAATTTCAGGCGAAACAATGATAGATATTTCTTGAGACTCTTGCTTCGTTGTTTTCATGGTTGGAGTAACATCTGTTTTTTGGACCGTACTAACGATTTCAGACAGCTTTGTCTCTTCCTGAGGGATCTTATCCGCTGTATCCTTGCTGTTATTTTCACATTCTTGTATATTTCGATGTTTTTCTCTCAAGAATGCCAGCCGATCACTAGCCAAGACATTTCCTTTCTGTGCTGATTTTTCGTACCATTCCATTGCCTTCAATTCATCCTTCTCAATCACACTCAAGATTTGACCCTCTTCTGTGGTCAGTCTGTGTTCAAACATTTGTCCAAGAGTAAATTCTGCAAGATCATTACCTTGCAATGCACTCTTTTCGAGCCATTCCAGTGCCGTTATTACATTCTGGCTTTCTTGTGATGTATTATCAACATTTCCTTCAACTTGTGTGGTGTTGTCTTGTTCAACATGATCCGTCTCTTGTTGTTTTCGGCGATGTTTTCCATGTAAATAAAACAAACCAACATGGTACTGAGCCAAAGCATGTCCATGTTGCGCTCCTTTGACATACCATTCAAAAGCCTTTGATAAATCTTTCTCGAGTTGTGTCTCCAATCCCTTGTCATAAAATTGAGCCACATAAAACATGGAATTCACATGTCCATATTCAGCTGCCTCCAAATACCATTCAAAAGCCTTGTATTGATTATGAGGAATTATACTTGAAGACCCTCCTCTTTCTAGTATTGTGTCTGAATGTGTTGATCGATCATACAATCTTCCAAGTTCGTAGGCTGCATCTGCATGTCCATCTCGAGCTGCCTTCTCAAAATATTCAACAGCTTTCAATTCATCTTTTTCAGGGATACCTAATCCTTGCAAATACAATAATCCAAGTTGATAAGATGCATCGGGATGCCATTGTAATGCACATTTTTGGAACCATTCCATTGCTTTTTCGTAATTCTTTTCTCGAGTTCCTAGTGCGTTCTTGTAACAGAGAGCCAATTGATACTGAGCAGTTTTTTCTCCTTGATGAGCCGCCATTTCAAAATAGTGGAAGGCTTTTTCTAAATCTTGTACTATTTCATCGCTTCCTTTTTGGTAGATTAATCCAAGATTGTTTTGAGCTCCAGAAATATTATTTTCAGCTGCTTTTTCATACCATTCACATGCTTTTTTCAAGTCCTTTGGAGGTCCATACAAACCTTCATACAGAAATCCTAAAGCAAATTGTGAATTAGCATTTCCTTGTTGAGAAGATTTTTCATAACATTCAATAGCTTTGAAGTTATCTTTTGAAGTTCCTTGCCCATTTTGGTACATCAATCCGAGAGTGCTTAATGAGGGTTCGTGATTATGAGATGCTGCTTTTTCAAAATACTGTAAAGCTTTGGTGTAGTCTATTTCAATTGCTATTCCATAATAGTACATGTTAGCTAAATGATATTGAGCAAAAATATTGTCGTTTTCATCGAGAGCAAAATACTGATACCAATGTAAAAAATTGCAGTCACAACTTAGGACTGCCGGTGTGTCGGTGTTGTTGTTGTGTGGATTCACAAACTCGAACTGTTGTTTGTCATTTTCAAGTGTGTTTGAAACTGGATTTTGATTGGTTTGCTTTTTCTTTAAATCATCTGCCTTTTCAAACCATCTCATGGCTGTCATACTACCACTGTTTGAGACGTATTTTTTCTGTATTCCTAACCGGTACATCAGTCCCATTTGATAAGCAGACATGACATTTCCATGATGAGCTGCTGTTTCAAACCATTCCATGGATTTCACATAATCTTGTGGTTTGGTACCAACACCATTTTGATATAAAAAGCCAAGTATAAATTGAGCTATTTCATCATTCCTAGAGACCTTTTCTTCTAAAAACTGTAATGCAATGTCTTTCAATGGAGAATACAAATCGTTTTCACCATGCTGAATGAATAGGCAAATAATACGATATTGAGCGTTGGTGTGTCCCTGATTGGCTGCTTTTTCATACCATTCTAGGGCTTTTGATTGATTGTTATCCTGACTACCGACATGCCCACACTCATACAATAATCCAATGGAATATTGTGAAATTATATTTCCTTGAATGGCTGATTTTTCATAAAATTCCAAAGCTTTTGAATAATCACAACATGTCAAACCTAACCCATTACTGTACATGAAACCGAGAGCTCGTTGACTTTTCTCATGATTGTGAGTTGTTGAAGCCTTTTCAAACCAAAACAATGCCTTCGCATAATCAGGATCTACCATCAATTCATTACACTTTCCAAAGAAGTATAATTTTGCCAAGCAATACTGCGCTCCCAAGTGTTCTTGCAGGGCAGCCTTCTCCAACCATTCGATTGCTTTCTTTGCATCTTGCTTGTAATTCAAACAATAGAGTTCATATCCTCTTGCATACAAGAGTGCAAGTTTGAATTGAGAATTTGCATGACCTTGATTTGCTGCTTTTTCATACCACTCAAATGCACTTGTCAAGTTTGGCAGTGATGTTCCAATTCCGCTTTCGTACATCCTGGCAACATTGTATTGAGCTTCAATATGACCATGTTCGGCAGCTTTTTCACAAAACTCCAAAGCTTTCACTTGATCTTGGGGTATGGAGTCAGAACCTTTTTCGTAAAGCATAGATACAGCATATTCTGCAAGTGAATAACCTTGATCAGCTGCTTTTTCATACCATTCTAAAGCTGTTGAGAAGTTTGGTTGTGGCAACCCTTGGCCCTTTTCATACATTTGCCCTAGGAGAAATTGACTTTGATCGTGTCCTTGTAATGCAGCTTTTTCAAGCCATTGTCTTGCTTTAGAATCATCATGTTCACAGAATTGTTCATTTAAATAAAGCACAGCAAGATTAATTTGAGCCATTAGATTTCCTTGATTTGCTGCCATTTCGTACCATATTCTTGCTTTTGTGAGATCTTGTTGCACTCCCTGTCCACTGAAATACCAATAACCCATGGATGCCTGTGCTAGAGCATATCCTTGCAATGCTGATCTCTCAGTGTATTCCCTTGCTTTTGTTGAGTCTTGAGTTACATACTGACCAATAAAATACATTTTCCCCAGCAGAAACTGACCTTCTGGGTCTCCTTGGTCTGCAGATTTGGAATACCATTCGAAAGCCTTTTCCAAATCTTGAGCAATCGTTCCATCGCTGGAACCCTTTTCAAATAATTGCCCAAGAACAGCTTGCGCATTCGCATGACCTTGTATAGCTGCTTTTTGACTCCATTCTAACGCTTTTGCAAAGTCTTGTGAGCACGCTATTCCATCTCGATACATTAGTGCAAGATTGTTCTGAGCTTGTGCGTGCCCCTGCTCAGCAGCTTCTTCGAAATAATTAAATGCAATATATTCATTCTTGTCACCTCCAACCACAGCAGATCCATTTAAATACATAATGCCCAGTAGTAGTTTAGCTTGTAAGAGGCCATTCATAGAAGCTGTTTCTAATAGTTGCAATGATTTTGAGTAGTCTTGCTCAACGCCTAAACCTGCTTCATAGAGGGCTGCAAGACTTATTTGGGCCTGACCATTTCCTTGATTGGCTGATTTTTCAAACCATTCTGCTGCCTTCTCGAAGTTTTTCTCAACCACTCCTTCTTGTCCATTTAAATACATTGAACCAAGTATAAACTGAGAGTTAGAATGGCCTAGCATTGCAGCTTTTTCATAGTAGCCAATAGCTTTTGTTAAATCTTTTTGAATGTATTGGCCGGTATGGTAGATGGTTCCAAGCATTAGTAATGCTTCTTCATTGTTTTGATTTGCTGATTTTTCCA